TCTCTCTCTCTCTCTCTCTCTCTCTCTCTCTCTCTCTCTCTCTCTCTCTCTCTCTCTCTCTCTCTCTCTCTCTCTCTCTTGTGCAGTGGCTGCTGTGCCTACGTCATGTGTGACTCACGCGGCTGTACTTTAAGCCGTGTGTCGGGACCAAGATCGGTGGAGGTGGCCAAGCAATTGTAATTTTGCATCCACCGATCTTAGTCCCAACATGTGACAAGCACGAAGACAAGCTTTTTAATCAGTGAACAAGCAACGCCGTTCAGTAGTGTCACCATGATTGCACAGAACTCGTAAGATGTTTTCAATGAACAAGAACGGTCCCATCTCCCCCCTCCCCCCGACCCCCCTGTAGCGCAAACAGGGCTGAAAGGATACTGATATATACATCCCCAAGCAGTCAGAATGACAAGACACGGAGACTGATTCTGATGTCTCTTTCATGGCTGCGCAGCTATTCTGAGTGAGAATGTGGATTCAGCCACTACATTGCTGTAAGGGTCCATCGTGTGCAATTGAAGTAACACCCCTCCCTGCACCGATCTTGGTCCCGACGCATACCTGCTTTAACTAGCATAAAATATTAATACTATGTATGTTTTTACATATTCTTGTGTGCGCGTGTGGCCCCCTCGTCCTCTCAGCCCTGTTCTGGATACCAGCAACTTTGTCAGGCATTTCTGAACCATGCCAATCCTGAAAGTGCGTGGTAATATTGAATCTTGAAGCCAGGGACGACAAAGAATACTTTAGAATTGTGAGGGAAGTGCCGCAAATATTCACCACAGAGATGATTCAGATTACAGCAAGTGACCTGCTGGAAGATGCCTAATGCCGATAGCAGTGCTTCAGGGATGTTGACCAAGCGACGTCAACGGCAGCAGCAGCAGCAGCTTGAAGGAATCCACAAGTACAAGACAGAAGCACCACGATTCAACGGAGAACGCACCGCAATGGAAGGACACACTGACAGCACACCGTGGACTACAAGATGCAGCGCACCACAGGCTGCTGAGACAGCCAGAACAAGCACAAGTGGCAGTCACCAACGACCAACTGGAGCAAGCGGCGCCATCGCAAGCGATTGGAGAGCGCTGGGTACAACTGAACAACAACTTGCACTACGGATCAGGGTCAACAGTTTGCAGACAACGCCTACAAAACGGCAACAACGCCTTAGATACTCCATCCCACTAAGCACAAGAAGCGTTGGGTACCTGACAAGGTTACTCAAGCCACAGCTTGACGAACGCACGTTCGAGGAGAGCTTTACAACATGGGAGTTTCAACTCGCAAAAACATTCTACCACCGGATGCTGTTGTTCGCAACAACAACATCTACAACAGCAGGCTGGAGACATCACCACACACGCACGCACAGAGCCCCTGGCCGCAAAGTAAAAGAGGTAAAAACAAAGCCAAACTCTGGACCTAATGCCCCGCAAGAAAAAAGGAAAATACAAAAGAAAGAAAGAAAGAAAAGTAAAGGAAGTAAAATGTTGCAGCCCATAGTAAAGAGGTAAAACAGTAAAATTAAAAACAAGTAAAACAGCTTCAAAGTAATACAAAAAAGTAAGAAAATGTTTATTCTTTACGGTTTTTGTTTTACTCTTGTTACTTCTTTTTTGTTTTTGGCTTAACGTTTACCTTGGTAACTTGTTTCAAACTTTTAACTTTTTTAAACTATGGGCTGCAAAATGCTACATCTTTGCTTTTTTAACTTTGTACTTTTTTTAACTATGGGCTGCAACATTTAATTGTTTTACTTTCTTTTACTTCTTTTAAAACTTCTTTTTACTATGGGCTGCAACATTTTACTTGTTGCCTTTTGTTAAAAATACGGTTTTCCTTTCAGGGCATTAGGTCCAGAATTTGGCTTTGTTTTTTTACTTCTGGGCCAGGGCTCCAAGAAAGCGGTGTTTTTTCAGTTTGTTGGCCAAACCTCAGCTCTGAAGTAGCACGGAGGTAGATCCATGGGGGGGGGTACCATATATATATATATATATATACATAATATATATATATATATATATATATATGCATGTATACATGTGTGTGCATATCTTCCCTTGCCCACGTTGTACTTGACGTTCATCTGGGCCTTGCAAACAAATAGCGCGCATACCAGTGTTTTGGAGCTTGTTTGTTCGCACTGCTCCGATGAGCAATCCATTTCAAGTCCGTGGTCCATTCCAAGTTACGCAGTGTCAAGAAGCATGTTTTTGCCAAACATGTGCTTGTATGTTATGGAAAAGGCTATGAACACAAACTGTTTTGTGTGCAGCCAAAACCCTAACAGACACAATGCGCATTTGAAAACTAGACAATTCAAGGGAGAGAGCGGCGTGCGGGCTTCTTGGCAGCTCGAATTGCCAAATCGCACACCACCTCGGCGAGCCATGGATTGGGTTTCTGCTGTCAAGAAGGCAGAAACACTGAACATATGTGCACACAAATACATGTGACCAATCATGGACAGTTTTCAAGAGAGATAGTACGCGCTGCTGACGTACGTCCCCCAAAACGTGTAGACTCCTATACCACCCTTCCATTGTTCCAGGTTGGCGAACCCCACCACCAACCCCACCACCAACCCCACCACCAACTTCCCATTGGCGCAGGTGGACTTGTCCGCCGTGGTGGAGGCCGACTTGGAGAGGCCCCGCGCCAATCCCCCGCGCCCCTCCCCGCAGCAGCAGCAGGGCGCAAGGCGCGTGGTGGCGGGACTTCGCCCTGTTTGGCTGCCTTTCCCTTTTCGATTTCCAGCAGTTTCCAAACAACAGCAACATGTTTTGTTTCTTTAATCCCACTGTTTTCACGTTTTGCAAGTCTAAGTCTGGCCCACAGAACTGGGCACCCACCCCCCCAACTGTCGCAAAAGGAGTAATTTGGAGACCCTTGCTCCCCTAACATATCAGTCGCGGAAGGGGCCAGAGACCTTTGGGCCTTTGGGCCATGAGCCAAGGCTTCCCCTGCCCCTTTGGAATTCGATCCGAACTTTAGCGCCATCTGTATCTCTGTTCCTTGGCCTACCCTCCTGTCATCTCCTGTCCACGTTGCCATGGAACTCACCAAAGGTCCCTTTGAAAGGAAACTTGTCCAAACCACCCCGATGGACGGGATCCAGCCACAAAGGAAGGAGCCAGGATGAGAGAGGATGAAATGCTAATGGATCATCTCGAAATCACAGCCCTCTGGAATAGCTTGACCCCCTGTTGGTGTTAAAGGGAAGCTATCACTACTACTGTATATGTTTTGCCATGTTGTCAGGGGGCTTGAGCAAAATGGAGGATTTGGACAAAGGCCGTCCTGTTGCATTTGGATGTGGGGTGTCTCGCCAGGAGCCGTGGTGCCTCGGCCCGGAAAGCGGCACTACAGCGCAAGCGCTTCGGCCAAATCCCGCGCGGTGAAGCCCGGTTTGACACAATATTAGCTGAAGATCCTTTTGGTTTCCTTTAGCTTCCCTGGCGACCAACCGTCTATTCTTGTGCAGATCTGAACACCAAAAGAAAGCCGTTGGATAAAGCAACTCTCATAGGTTTTCGAACATGTCAACACTTGGAATCCCCTCATTCCATGACCCTTAGTTGTTTGCCCTTAGGTGCAACCTCGAGAGGTGAATACCGGAGGATGCGCATTCTGTTTCGTCATGCGTAAGGAAGTTTGAGAATGGGAGATGTGCCAAAAGAAAGCCGCCTCGCCCATCATTCTGGTCAAAGTGCCGAAAGCTCTTGCGCCGGTTCAAGCCGCGGCTTCGCCGTTCTCTTCAGGAATCCTGCCACTGAAAAGTATGGGGTATGGGCACTGGCCCATATCGGCCAAACACCAAACCACCTGGGCAAGGTTGTTGGAGCCCAGGCCGGCGCTCCCAACCTTAGACAATAAGAGGTCTGTTAGAAAGGCAAAGTCTCCTTCTTGGGCATCCCGCCTTGAAACATGCCGCCCGGCTCGAAGGGCTCGGGCTACCTGTTCAGCAGGTATGGGGGGCCATTGGATTCAGCTTACAGGTGGAGATTGAAAAATCAGCTGTTTGCCACTTAGAAGCCAGAAGTTGCGTCACTCTTGCAGGGGCTCGGTGTGATTTGGATCCCAAGTAGTTGCATCGCAGCATCAATGCTGCGCGCCATCCCCAATGCACCTTTTTCCGTGGCTCCAGCCTTCGTTTCTTCGTTTCTTCCGACGCTTGAAACCATCTGTTTGCGCAACCATTTCCCTGCTTCCCTTTTTATAGGTATCCAAGAGAAACAGCCGTTAAATACCAAAAGGAAAATGGCTAGATACCTACTGCATAGGAAACTGGGATGCACTGGGTACAGAACCAGCTCGTAAAATGATCTCCCTATTCCATAGCCAGACCTCGCGTGTCCCGCCTTTCTGCCGAGGAAAGAGGAAGAGGAGCTCCGAGCAAAGGCAGAGGCAGAGAAGAAGGCCGGGTGATGACCTCAAAATTGGCATGGAGGTGTTTGTGTGTAATTTTGTGCAGGTTTGTGCTCAAACTTGGGGCCCCCAAGATGGTTGGTTTCCTTTTGGTTTCCATGAAAAACATGCAAAAAAGAGGTCCCCCAAAAAGAAACACACCCCCATTTTTTCATATATATATATATATATATGCATGTGTATTGTGGGTGTTGTGGGTACCCGTTTCACCTTGGGAACGAACGGAACCAAAAGGAACACCATCCCATTTTGCATGGCCTCCTGTTTCGACCCTCAAAAACACAATTGGTGGTTACATACCTGGCCAACGTGCGGCAACGTCTGAGACATTGCCCCTTGACTTTAATGAGGGAAAACAATGGGCGCTTTAGGGTTGGTTTCTCCAAAGCGTGTACCCTGCCGCATAAGTACAAATATATATATATATGAAATATAAATATAAATGTACATATAAATATACATATAGTTAGATGAATAAATAGATAGAACTAAATAAGTGAATACTCGATAAATATAAACAACTATGTATATATATATATATATACGGATGCTGAGGGTGTCGACCACTTGATGTACAAACTATCGCAACAACTACTAGTAGCTAGAACGCGAAAATACATTTTCTTTACTATTATATTGGTGATGCTGTGATGTGCCTTAAAGTGACCCATGCAACAACACGGTTCACAAAAACGTCGTGACAGACAAATGGCAAGACAGAGAAACGATGCCCTTTTGCTTTTCTTTGGGCATCCGTCAATGTCTCATAGCCGTTGGGGTCAAGTCACGCGCAAACAAGGGACAGGGGTGGCTCCGAGTCTCAAGAGGAAGGGGAAGACACTGGTTTGGTTTCCGTTGTTTTGCCAACAAACGCCTAGACGGACCGAATCTTTAGAGCAACACGGAACTAGGGGGACGTACAGAAATCCTCCTGAGGGCCCTGAAGACGGCGCCGCAATACAGGGAATTCAGTTTTGGTTTCCTTTCACCAGCCCTTCAGGTCCACTTGCCGCGTGCTCCGGGAACACAAACGCCGCCCCTTGCGGAATCTCCTCCTCTTGTGAATGGGACCTCTTTTCTGGTTTCATTCCCTGTGCCTCAATCCGATGGCACCCCCCACTCGCTCGTCGCTCGAAAGCCGCCGCCAAAGTGCCGAGGAGCGGCGCCGCAAGGCGCGCCTCGTCGCGCGCCCGCCGAAGCGCATAGCAGTGACCTGCAAGGCCGGGCTCTCCGCGGCCGGAAGCTGATTTTCTAAACGTGGTGCCTCCCAGCCCTCCGCTTCCTTAGCTTTTGAGCTGTAAAGCTTATGGGCCAAAAACTGTTTGGGAGGATGTTGGTGGCGGTCCCAAGGAGTGTGGACTCCTTTTGGCCAGTCAGGAAGTGAAAAAGTGATAAAGTAGGAAGGATGGCCTTGTTTCGTATCACAAGTTATTTTGCATCATGGGGACCTCACAAGACGAGCTCCGAGGCAATTGGCACAATTGGAATGAAGATGCTTTCGGTTTGTTTGTTTCTTTGGTTGCTTGCTTGCTTGCTTGCTTGCTTGCTTGCTTGCTTTGCTTGCTTGCTCGCTTGCTTTGCTTGCTTGCTTGCTTTGCTTGCTTGCATGCTTGGTTGCTTGTTCTTGCAAAGGGGTTTAAAGGGAACTCAGCAGCGGCATTTTGGCTGCCCCCCCCCCCCCGTTTTTTTGACACTAAGGCTGACCTTTTGTGTTTTTTGTCAAGGTTCCAAAAGGTTAACCTTTTATTTCCAGGTCCTTTGGTCAATCGAGCTGAGGGTGTCATTTTACTTGGCTGCGATTTGGTTGGACGTTTTAGTTTGAGTTCTTCTTTCGAGGAAACGCGTGGATTCCCCCTTGAATGGGGCAATATTGTGGTGTGAAACAAGCGTTTTCTTTTGTTGGGCGTGTTTCAAGGGACCACGGCAAGCCAAATACCCAAATTGGGCTTTCCCTGTTTGAGAGAACTCCGCAGGTGGCGCAACCACACTTCGTGCCCGCAAATGCCGAGGCGTGGATCGGGGGATCGGGAGCGGCCGTGTCTGGGGCGGTTTGGGTTCTCCAGCGGCCCAAGAGCACAGCCGGAGCCGGGTCTCAGCCGCTGTTTTGCTTGTGGTTTGGCATGCTGCGAATTGGCGCACTGACAAGTGCACAGGCAAAGCGCAAGCCGCTAGGGGAGCTTGAAGCAGGGTTTGGCCGTTGTCACCAGTTGCACCTGTTCAAAAACCTGAAGCCACTTGTTCTCAAGCATCAACTGAGGTTTCCCATTGAACGAGGTCCATGGCAGTTGGTTGTACAACAGCTTTTGCAGCATGGCTGAGCAGGAGCCTCCCTCTGAGAGCCAGTGAAGCACCCGTCCTCTCCCCTTCACATGCCAGCAGGGTGGGACAAGATTGGTCGAAATTCTTGATGCAGTCGTCAGTCGTCTGTTGTGAAATGGTAGCCGTTTGAAGCTTGTTTTGAAGGGAAGCCAAAGGGAACTCGTCCATTCGGTCTCCCACATGTCGAATCAAGGTGGCCTTACCCTAGCTGCCAGGTTGGCAGATCCGTTGTAGGCGCTTACAGGTGGTCCTCTAGCAACCTCAGTGGTGTGAATAGACATGCTTCTGTACGGATCAAGTTCTCGCAGTTTGATGCTGTCATTTAACTTCACTGCGACTTGCATAAACATTTAAGCTTAATTTGTTTTTGTTCAAGGAAACGCGTGTTTTCCAACTTGAGTCGGCCGATATTGTGGTGTGAAGCATGTGTTTATCTTCTTTCCCGCACTTCGTGCCCGCAAATGTGGAGGTGCGCACTGGGGGATCGGTAGCGTCCGCGTCTGGGGTAGTTTGGGTTCCTCAGTAGCCCAAGATCGCGGTTGGGTCAGTCCGCGCATGCCGGAGGCTCGAGCGGAATGTTCAACCAGCTGCTGTTTGGCTTGTGGTTTGGCATGCTGCGAATTGGCGCACTGACAAGTGCACGGGGACAGTGCACCCCGCAAGGTTCTCAAGCATCAACTCAGCTTTCCCAGAGGTCCGCTGACGTTTGGTTGTTCAACAACTTGTGCAGCATGGCTGAGCAAGAGTCTTTGTTTCCTTGGAATGCCAGCAGGGTAGGGCAAGATTGATTGAAATTCCCAGTTGCCATGGAAATGTTCAACGGAAACCTGGATGAATTCGTCTCTTGCAAAATGGTAGCCGTTTTGGCCGGCTTTTAAAGGCCAGCCAGAGGGAAACCATCCATTTGGTCTCCCACATGTTGACCAGCTGCCCTTACCCTAGTTGCCAGGTTAGCAAATCCAAAGTGGGTAGGCGGTTGCGGCTTGCCCTATAGCAACCTCTAGACATGCTTCCGTACGGATCAAGTTGAAAGTTTAAGCTTGTTTTGTTTTTGTTCAAAGAAACGCGTTTGTCCAGCTTGAGCGGGGTGAAGATTGCCCAACTTGCGTTTTCCCGGTTGGAAAAAACCACATCGTGCCCTTTTGGCCCCTTAGCATCTCATCGGCACCTCGCAGGTGGCGCAACCGCACTTCGTGCCCGCAAATGTGGAGGTGCGCACCGGGGGATCGGTTGCGGCCGTGTCTGGGGTAGTTTGGGTTCCTCAGTAGCCCAAGATCGCGGTTGGGTCAGTCCGCGCATGCCGGAGGCTCGAGCGGAATGTTCAACCAGCTGCTGTTTGGCTTGTGGTTTGGCATGCTGCGAATTGGCGCACTGACAAGTGCACGGGGACAGTGCACCCCGCAAGGTTCTCAAGCATCAACTCAGCTTTCCCAGAGGTCCGCTGACGTTTGGTTGTTCAACAACTTGTGCAGCATGGCTGAGCAAGAGTCTTTGTTTCCTTGGAATGCCAGCAGGGTAGGGCAAGATTGGTTGAAATTCCCAGTTGCCATGGACTTTGTTCAACGAAACCTGGATGAATTCGTCTCTTGCAAAATGGTAGCCGTTTTGGCCGGCTTTTAAAGGCCAGCCAAAGGGAAACCATCCGCCAGCAACCTCAGTGGATGGAATCAACATGCTTCTTGTTCGGATCAAGTTTGCGATGCTTTATGGAGCCATTTAACTTGGCAGCCATATTTGATTTGATCTTTAACCTTGGACTGTTTGTAGAAGGCGTGTGTTTTGTCCAACTAATCTGGGGCGTGAAACATGGGTGCATCTGTTTCTCTCACATTTTGGGGAGGTGCCCTGTCGCCTCTTACGCCCTCTGCAGGTGGCGCATCCAGATGTCGTGCCCGCAAATGCGGAGGCGCGGATCAGGGGGATTGGGAGCGGCCGCGGCTCGGGCGGTTTGGTTGCCGCAGTGGGCCCGGCGCTTCCTTTTTTTGGCTGACAGTGCATTGGAGTCTTGGCAGGAAACCAGGATAAATACACCGATTGATAGTCAAAATGTGGAATCGACCCTTCAAGACAACTTGTTGGTCCCCCCAAAGTTGTGCTGTTTCGGAGGCACGGGCATATGTGGTCGCAAGCCTAAGACCCTGGTTAATCATGGTACCCGTTTTTAGCAGGTATTAAATGGCTGCCGGCGTGCACCAAAAAGGACATCCATCCGAAAAGAATCCAGAAACCTGCGTCACTGGATTGCCCTACGGGACGAAGAAACAGCAAAGCTCTTCAACACCCAGAGACGGCAGACGGCTCGGAAGGCTCCCAAGCATATATGCAAATATGTGGTGGTTGTCGGTTTCCTCTTTGGCTTGCCTTTGAACCAAGAAACCCAACCCCCACAAAGGGTCTTTTCGTACCTGCAGGCAACACAACTTGCACATGGTTGGCCGCTTTCAGGGCGTTTAAAGCCCAGCATCTGAAAAAGAGGTGAGGGAACCCCCCTCGAATTCTATGGGGAGTTTTTGGTTGATTTGTGACCCACTTTCCTCGCATGGGCATTTCGGACACGATCTCATTTTTGTCATCAAGGAATGTCTCAAGTGGGTTCCCACTTCCTTGATAATGTTCACCCCAGATCAATACACTTTCCCTCCAAAAGTGCTGAATCCCAACTAAAAGGGGACACTTCTCCTATGAATCAGCCAGGGGTTTAGCAGCGAACAAAAACATTGGACATGCTTGCGTGGGAATGCCATGCGAGGGCCAAGTTTCCACAACGAATTGGACAACACATTTTGTTCATGTCCTGATAGGGAGTACATTTGTCCGTTGGTTAAGTGGGCTTGGAGTGGGCTTGGGTGGACTCGTTTAATATCATGCCACATGAAGCTCAGTCAAGCTGTCCACTGGTCCATGGTCAATCTGGGAGGGACATTGGGGCACAAGCCAAATTCTCCACAAAAGCCCAAGGAGGTGGAACCTCAATTCTTTCTCTCTCTCTCTCTCTCTCTCTCCCTCTCTCTCTCTCTCGCTCTCTCTCTCTCTCTCTCTCTCTCGGATTGAATGGGCAATATAAGGAGCTGAATGATTACACATGATTCTCCCATCATCATAAGGTTATTTCGTTTCACAGTACCCTACAACTCTCCATTTTAATGACTCAGGCCATAATATTGTGGATGGACAGAATCCTGCATCGGTTGGGATGAACGAATCCCGGTAAATACTGGGAAATTCCACCTCCCAACTGGTGCAACATTTTGTCCACCCGCAGTACAAGCCACATCTCGGTTCTTTCAGCGAACAATGACGGGCCGTCCGAGGTAACCTGGGCAGATGCGGTCGAAGAAGCCGAGGTCTCGGATCGACGGGAGGAGGACACGGTGGGGCAAAATGTGGAGCGTTTCTCAAGACTGGAATCATAGCTGTCCTTTTTTGGTTTGTTTGGTTAAGAATAGTTCCAAAAGGACACCTATGCTCTGGAATCGATCCCCACGCGTTGAACCAATTCTCGACCCCTCCCCAGACCTCCGGTGGTACCTGTTGTTCCTCCTTTTGGAGAGTGCGTTGCTTTAGAATCAAGCACTGAACAGGGGTGCGTTCCTTTCCATGGCCAACGGGGTTTGGGTTAAAAAGCATGCGGTTTAAACATATTTTTTAGACAGGTTTAAACAGGGGTTTGAATCGCCTACCTGGCTGCGTTCTTCCTTCACATGTTTTGCTCGGAGAAAGACATGCTGTCGACAGCCCAGTTGGGTCCTTATATCTCCCTTGGGTAGTTTGAACATCAGCTTGTGGCCCGTTCTAAGATAGGTTTCCTTTTGGTAATTACATATATATATATTTATTTATTTATTTTTCCGGGGGACATGTGAATGCATGTGCTGCAAGGCCTTGGCAATTCTCCGTTTCCGCTCAACATCTACAAATAGGATTTCTGCGCTCAGCGATTGTGGCCTGTGCGTTTCTAAAAAATACTTGTTCGGGACACGTAAAGAACCCTACCCCCCTATTACCATTCGAGGACCTCGAGCTAGAGAGCGAGCTAGAGAGCGAGCTCGAGAGCGACAGCGCAGCGGAGACTGAGGAGCGTCTGTGGTCAATTTGACAAAAAAGCGACTCACGGAGTTTCTCCCACCCGAACAAGGAGGGCAGAATCTTCAGTTTCCGATGTCCATTCATGATAACAGCATGTGCTCTACCCAAAAGGAAGGGGAACATCAGAAAGACAATTTCCTCGCTGTTTTAGAGCGAGGCAGGGAGGGGCCATTGATCTGGGGACCTGTTTGACAGGGTCTAGTTCTAGTAAACGGGATCCAGCTTGCACCAAAGGACAATCAACGTGGCATCCCAAAACCCATTTGTTAGAACCCATTCAACGGGTCACCCAATTTTGAGAATGTGGAAAGATGCTCCGGGCGCTTGGGGTTTCTAGTTCCGGCGTTTTCAGCTCCGGTCAAGTCCGGCGCTTCCCTTGGAAACGTGGACACAGAAATATGGCCATCCTGTTAACAGAGAATCAACAGAGAGTGGGCATGAATTCCAAAGGGTTGGTCCACCAGGTTTCAACATTCCTAGGCCACCTGCACCTATTTTGTAGCTTGAATGACGTAGCAAACGCAACTTTAGCCTGCTCCTAAAACCCAACGTTTTGTTCTACCTGGCATAAAGCTTTAGATAGGCCTCACTGCAATCATGCCCATGAGACGAGGTAGTAGAGCCCCCTACCAACATGGCCCAATTCTTACAATATATTTATGGGTGTGGAAGCAACAAGCTGTACGGCCCCACTTAGATGTTCTTCCATTTGACGGTTTTATTAACCCTACTGTGCCTGTAAATGATGCTGGTCTTGTTGATCCTCCGCCCAACGTTTCGGTTCGGAGCACGCGACAATCCAGTAAAACGTTTTTGGGCCCTCCCCAAACAGTACCATGCGTCACCTATCCCAACGACACAACGACACGCGGACGATACCCTTGGGAATAACCCTAGACAACGAGTCCATGCACTACGCCTACCCTTCTGTTCAACTTTGGCCATGCAGACAAGAATTCTGAAACAACCACAGCAAAACGATAGGGCCACCCAAAACGATACCTGCCCCAAAAGATCTGAAAACTGAACCATACATTTACCACAGCTCGCTTTTACCCCCTTTCTGCAACAAGCAACCAGCGACAAGTAGCGCATAACAAGCAACAAGCATCAAGCAACACAACACACAACAAGCAGCAAGAAATAAGCAACACAAAAAACAACAAGCGACAATCAACTATGATGACACCCTTGGACTGTTAGACTTTAGAGTTCAGAGTGAGTTGGACGGTTTTGCCAGAGCAATTTTCTTAGCGAGAGATCAACGAACCACTGATCTAAGATGGTTTCTACATGCTTCCACTACCCCCAGCCCACGACCCCAAGCGGGTTAATGGGATACAACCACTATATAGACATACATATATATATATATGTATATATATATACACATGTACCCTGTTTTCCCCTTGTACTACGCTTGGTGTTGCAAGCTAGAGCTCAGGAGGAGCTGGCGCAGGAGACCAGGTGGACGCATGTCGCCGCTCGGAGCAGTCTGTGTCTGTTGTTCGGTTGTTATTTAGGACGCAGTGGCGGCTTGTTTTGGGGAAGGGTGGGCAGGGCTGTGTTCTCGGAGGGGTTGGCCCTTGAAATCATCCAACAGAGCAGGGGCAGGCAAGTCTGCAAGGCTAAGAAGGAACGTTCCCAGCCCCAGGTTCGCCGCCCTCCCCCCCAATAGTATTCCCCCCATCCCCCAGTCCCAGGACCCCAGACAGACAAGGCGAAGCATACTCAAACCGAGTCAACCCCCATTCCAAACCCAAAAGCCACTCCGGGCGTGGTAGCATGACTGTGAGGGGAGGGGGGGAACCACCAGCCTCCAGCATGTGTGTATCTATATATATATATATATATACACCTTGAATTCCCGCCGCTTGCCCCACCACAACACGCACGACGCACACATTGCTGCAGGGGCGCTAGACACTAGTGTCTGCGTCAGGTGCATGGGCTCCAAATGGTTTCCTCCAACGTCTTGATACATGTGGAGCCATGGCTTGCACCTGCTGAGACGTGGCACTCTGCGGGCTAGTTGTGTTTGGACACATCCACGGCTGCAAGGCCAGGCGCAGTTTGGAGCTTTATGCAGGCTTGAGGGTCTAAGTAGTTAAGGGTTTGAAGTTTCCCTTTGCACCGCTTACGGTTTTGGGTGTTCACGTTTAGGGTTATCCAGGAGGCTCCGGCAGTTCGGAACCCTGCGAGTGCTTCGCACTGCGCATTGAAGCCTGGTGCCTTGACATATAAACATGTAGACACGGAGCAGTGATGGCGACACAACATGACAGTCACGCGCGAGACGCTCACGGGAGGGGCAGTCGGAGTCGGGCGCAGGGCAAGCGATGGGAAGTTGCCTTTTCTCTCTCTCTCTATATATATATATAGATATTATTTGTTATGTATATACATATACACATACCACACTTGTACAGCCGGGCCCAACTCCAACGGAGGGTGCCTGGGCGCCTCCCTTAGCCCCAGGAAGCTTGGGGCGTGCTGGACGGCACGGCTTCCTCCAGCTCCACGGCGTCGGGGCGAGAGCTGGAGAACGCCGAGAGTGAGGAGCCAGAGTTGTGTTTATTTTGCGTTTGTGTTTGTATCGGCGTTTGTGTTTGTGTCTCTGTGTTTGTGTTGGCGTTTGTGTTTGTTTTTGGTGTCACGGCCTCTCATGACTCCTGCATCTGCCACATCCTTGAAAAGAGACACTTGCACGCCAGGCAGCTTTGCTCGCTCGTCCCAACTAGAGCTGGCGCCATGGCCATGGCCAAGGGTGCCTTGTCTCCTGCCTCACGAACAGCGGCTGCCCTCGCCAGACTCCCCTCAGAGCCTGGTGCACAAGGTGTGGCACAGGCGACAAGTTCGGCTTTGCTGGGGCTTCGCGATTTCGCGGGCAGCTGTCAAGCAGACAAAGATGCCGCCCCAGTCTGAGCAAGGTGCCATAGGCAAGGGTGTTGCAAGTGAGGGAGCCTTCAGACGTCAAGACGGCTGTTTACCCAACCAGACTTTTAGCAGGGGTTGCGCCCGCCCTGTCTTCTCAGTTGCCAACTGGCAAAGGAATGTCCCTTTTCTGCAAGTTTCGTCATGCAACCTTGATGGCCGGATTGAAGTTTTGCTTCACAGTCTCGCTTGACGGCGGGGCTTGCGCGCGCGTTGGACGCTCAAAGCCGTGACAGCAAGATAACCGCGCAGGCTTTCATGCCCGGATCCACGCGAGCTGAAAAACACCCTCAGCTTACGCAGCCTTGGTGGTGCGGGAAAGCCGCGCTCCTCATTCTTGAACGGCGGCCAACGTGCGGAGGCGCACGTTGTGCTCCAAAACGTCATTCGCGAACAGCGGTCGTAACGCGCCCGAGGAAATCAGGCGAAAATTCCGCCGCCCAATTGTGTTGCTTCTGAGAACTTAAAAGGGCCCATAAGAAACACGGACAGCGAGCAACTTTCCAGGGAAATCAGGGTGCAAGCGACAGGCTTGGGGCGCCAACGGCCTGCTTATCTTCACACACGCAACGCCCTTCCACCACCAACTCCCGCTAGCACAGAAAGATTGGAACCAGACGATCAAATTTCCACTGAATTGCCGTGGGCTGGGACCTTTACCCAAACGAGAAAGGACCGTGCGTCTCATGACAAGACACGAGAGTAGTTGTCTTCTAAAAAACCCAAACAGCCCCAAACCTTTCACAATGTACATGAACAATCGGGGGTTGGCGTTGTTCTGTGTTTGTGTTTGTGTGTGTGTTCTGTGTTCTGTGCTCTGTGTTTGTGTTTGTGTTTGTTTGTTTATGTGTGTGTTTGTTTCCGCGCGTGTGTTTGTGCTTGTTGTGTTTGTGTTTTTTGGTTCTTTTTGGTGTGTGTGTGTGTGTGTGCGTGTGTGTGTGTGTGTGTGTGTTTTTTTTGTGTTTGCGTGTTCGTGTTTGTGGTTTTTTGTATGTGTATGTGCCTGTGTTTGTGTGTTTGCGTGTTTGTGTGGTTGTGTGTGTGTGTGTGTTGTTTTTTTTTTTTCTGTGTGTGTGCTTGCTTGCTTGCTTTGCTTTGCTTTGCTTTGCTTTGCTTTGCTTTGCTTTGCTTTGCTTTGCTTGCTTGCTTGCTTGCTTGCTTGCTTGCTTGCTTGCTTGCGTGTTTGCTTGCTTGCTTGCTTGCGTGTTTGCTTGTTTGCTTGCTTGTTTGCTTGCTTGTTTGTTTGTTTGTTTGTTCGTTCGTTTGTTTGTTTGTTTGTTTGTTTTGAGGGTGGCCCTTTCAGGCTGAGTGAAAGGCACCAACAGGAAGACCGCAATTTTGGGGTTCCAAACACGATATTGAAACAACAGGTTGCCACCACGGTTTTTCGGTGGAAAAGAGTCACAAAGGCAGGGGTCATCGCATTTGTCCTTAAACACTCACTGCGGCGCAAGCTTGTCGCTCAAAAATTCAACAACAAGGAACATGTGTTCTTCGCTCCCCCTACATGCCACTAACACAAACGCGCAAGAATCCACTGGGTGGGTACGAAACGTGTTTCTACAAGCGGAACCTTGCCATGAACCCCCCACCTAAATCGGGGATGCTCCCCCCAAGACTTTGAGAAATTAAAGAGCAGGAGTGGTTGGGGGAGTCCTAAAAGTCATCGTGAGTTTCTAAAAAAAACCTTTGTGGGAGCACCCATGCAAAGAGTATTGAAAATCGTTCAAACATGATTCAACAAGTGGCAACAGCCCACAGAGGAGCTCGAAAGCGACGAGAGGAAGCCTTGGCCAAAGGAGCCGGTGCTTGGGCTGAACGAATTCAGTTTGGGTTCCTAAAGTACAAGATCTTGGCCTCTTCTTCAGCCAAAATGGAACCCCAAAGGCCCGGCTTGGCTGCAAAGTCCTGGGGCCTACGGCCCCAAAGGCCCCAGCTGGCAGCCATTGAGATATGTGCCGACAACCACCGTTTTGCTTGAGGTTAGTAGCCATCTCTTCAAAGGAAAACTAACAACCTTGATTTCGATTGAGGGCACCATGACCATTGCCAACATGAGGATTGATCGTGCAACATGAGTTGGACATGTGTGTGGCCTGTTGGGTGTGTCTTCAAGTTAGGGACCATCTGTGTGCAACTGGCCTCGCTCTGGCAGTCCAGATGTTTCTCCGTTTGATAAACTTGACGCCATCAAGGCGACTGGCAACGACAGAATCTTCACGTTGAGACAGGCAAAATCCCCATCAACGGACATGAAAGGACCACCCAATTTCTCTGTGGGATATCAAGTGACATTGCCCGTTGGCTCACACGTTTTTTGTGTGAAACTGAGAGACCATCGCGGAAATCAAGTGCCATCTTCAGGTGCCCCCAAGGGGTTTAGCCACCATACAAATATGTTTATATGTATATACTGTGTATATATGTTGTTAATGTTGAAACGCATGTGGAAACATGAACTGTGTGTGGAATGCTTGACCATAATGGCATGTGCCATTTTGGCTCAAGCTTTGCTCTGGGTTCCTGGAACCCAAGCTGATTGAAAAACTTTGATCTTTTGCATTTTCGAACTTAACCCCGACCAAGCAATGGCTTCCTCGGCAACCTCGGCAACTTCCTTTGAGTTGATTGAGGACCAGACACTCACCGTGGAGGAGGTTGAAATGGCCAGCCAGGAGGCCCAGGACATTCGCACACGGGAGGCGGCAGTGGCGGCCGGCTTGGTTTTGGACGAGCCCGAGGCCCCCCCGTCAGCTTCGGCGACCGATGTGATGAATGACCTCTCCAGTGCACTGGAGCGTCTCCAAGTGGCATTTGCCACACCGACTCCCGGCTTGGGTGCCCCTGGCCCCGCCGAGGAGGGCGACAGGGACATGGGGGATGCGGACGGCACGGAGCGGGCCACACCACCGGAGGAGGCGCAGACGCCACCCACGAAGAGACTGAAGGGCTTTGTGGCGGCTTCTCAGAAGGCTACGTCTCAGGCCAACAAACCTGTCACCTTGGTGCCGGTGGACGGAAAACCTGGGTACTTCAAGCTGGTGGACCTCCCGGACTTGTTTCCAGTCCTTCCAGCGTCGGCGGCCACCTTGCTGAGAGACATCACGGTGGAGGAGGCGGTCTCCCTGTTTTACAAGTTTGTTGGGAAGAACCTCACGGAGGACCTGGTGATCCGCATCTTGGAGGCGTACGTCCCGATGAAGATCCAGCTCCGCCAGGAGGAGGTCTGGGCTTCGCAGTTCCAGAGGAACAAGGCGTGTATCGGCACCCAGCGCATGTACAGGCTCGACGCAGGTCATTCCGACTACAAGTTCATGTGCAAGGCATGCGGAACGGGGTGGCCGCAGCCAAGCAGTGCTGGGTCTGCCCCGGCAAGGAGTCCGCCCCCTTCCAGGCACCCTCGGCCACCTATGAGGCGGACGGCATCACCTACAACCTGCTCATCTTGGAGGGCAAGCCAATCTGGATCCAGCAGCGGGAATGGGGAAGCCTGGGTGCCGTTGGCCCCGGTGGTACCCTGGCACAGGCCGACCGCAACTTGGTGGACGGCACGGTCTTGGGGAGAGCCCCTCCAAAAACGGACTCGGCTGATGAGATCACCATGGCAGATGCGGTCCCGCTTAACATGCGGGTGGACATCCGGCAGGAGATCCTGTCCATGGAGGCGGATGACGAGGCGATGAAGGTCCGGGAAAGCCAGGAGATCCGGGTCAAAGTGCAGCGGTCCCTGAAAGAGGCGGAGGCTCAGAGCTTCGAGCTCTACCATCCCCAGGTGGACCAGGCGATCAGGAAGAAGGCGGGAGCCGACTCCGGAGGAGGCCTCGGCCAGGCGGCTGCACAAGGAGTTGGTCACTGAGGAGATGCTGGACAACGAGATGGCGATCCTGGCGCCCCTCCAGGAGGGCATGCAGGCCCTGCCGTCAGATGAGGTGGCCAACGAGGGAGCCCGTGCGCTCAGGAAGGTGAGAGCGTCGCAGAACCCGTGGCACCAGGAGGCACTGCTGGAGGAGATGCCCGAGCTGGAGGCACCGGCCCCCCCAAAATTTGCCACCGGCCCCGGGGGGGACCAGCCCATGTCCCAGCAGGACCTGGACTCTGAGGACGGCAAGCTGTCCCTTATCCTCTGGGCAATGAAGCGGCACCAGGGAGAGCTCCGGATGTTTGGGGGGGTTTGGAGGAAGCACGCAAGCGGTGAGATCCCCCGGGGCGCTGACCAGCAGTTTAAGCTCGCGCCGGAGGAGCTCCTGGCCCTTGAGCGCAGGACTCACCCATGCACGTGCGAGCAGGACCACATCGACCCAGTCATCTACACGGCCTTGGAGATCCGGGCTCAGGTGAACCGGGGTGAGCGCCCGGCACCTGAGCAGGTGGTTGGTATCTTCTGGGCAAGGGGTGATGGGGTGTTTTGGACCAGACAGACGAGAACGTGGGACCTGCCGAGCCTGACGGGAGTGTACGCCCACAGGTTCACATTTAAGTATATCTACTCGGCCTGGACCACCTTCCCGTTGATTGTGAAGACGCAACGCCGGGGCCGCAATGCGGAGGGCTCGACCTCGGACAAGTGGATGGGCAACATTATCCAGATGAGGAAGGAGGCGGTGCCCTTCCTGGAGAGCCTGGGCATCCCCAAGCCGCACAGCAAGGAGGAGTGGAGTTACATCTTCAAGGAGATGGGGACATTCTTGGCGGCAAAGAATTTCATCGTGAACTGCCCGTTGCCCGTGATGGAGATGCCGGTGGCCCCCATCCATGACAGTAAGGAGGCGCTGCAGTTCAGGGCAATTTGCGACGAACGGATCACCCTCGCCTCGCTGAAGGCCTTCGACTCGGTCTACACCAAGTTGGTGGCGGGCCTGAGCAAGTCGTCGATGGTGGAGGTGAAGGTCAATTGGCGCTGCAATGTGGTCCACGACTGGGTCGAGCAGGTCCCGCAGGAGGCGGCGGGGGCCTTGTATGACAGGTTGGGCTACTCCCAGGACCTCATCCGTGGGTGCCGTTGGCCCCGGGGGGGGAGCGGCCAAGGAGGCGGACCCAAAGGCCAAGGTCCTGGGGGGGGCAGACACCACGCTCCGCACCCCAGGCCAGGGCGCCAGGCGGCACCCGCCCATCACCACGGCCACGGTGACGGCGGTCGCGGGCCAAAAGTACGTCAACAAGCACTTCCCCAAGGAGGCGAAGCATGTGTTTTGGGGCTCCGTGGAGTGTGGCTTGGTCTTGCCAAGCATCAGTGCCTGGGAAGTGGTGAGCAAGGAAAAGTTCAAGACCACGGGGGGCTATATGTGCAGATTTTGCAAGGGCTTTTGGAAGGCGAGCCGCGGGGGGACCAGGCTGCTCCAGATCACGGGGTGGCACAGGGATAAGGCCACCTGCTTGCAGTTGGTGATGGACGAGCCCCCGGAGCAGCTGTACAATCAGTGGATCCGCGATCGGATGGAGTTCTACAAGAGGGTGGAGCCAACGCAGCCTCCCAGGGATGAGCGGTTGGTCCTGGGCGACGCGGCACCCCCCGCATGCGCTTCAGCTCCTCGAACGGCCTGCGGGATGTCTCCACGGCCTTGTGGTCGGTCATCCTGAGCAACCCGGAGAAGTCGGGGCTGGCGGCAATCCACTCGGTGGCGAAGGAGGCGATCCTGAAGGGAGGGAGCCGCTAGGTTTTGTCTCACAACCCTGTCGGATGTGGGAGTCGTGTGATCTCTTCCTTCCGGGACTTGGGTGCCATTGGCCCCGTCGCCGGGGGGGGGCGGGGGGGAAATGTCTTCCTTATTGGGTTCGGTTTTCACCACTGTTTCCTCTCCTATTCCATTTTGGTGGCGCACGTGGGTTTTTCCGGTGGCATGGCAGTGGAGCCGTTTCTGGGGGGTTGATTTTGGGTCGCGCTCCCCCCTCTCCCTGTTAAAATCTCGGGACGTTGGGGGGGACGTGTCGGGATGCGTGTGGCCTGCCTGCTCCATCTGCACTCTGCATTCTGCAAGGTTGGAGCATGCATGCATTGTGCCGCGGTTGGGTCCCGGCGGTTCGATAGGAGGCTCAAAACCCCCTTTTTCATCATGGCTAGGGTATCTACCAAGTTTCTTATGCGTTCGCCCTGCACACGTCTTTGGGACCGCATTCCAAGCGTCTTATGGGACACGTTGGCGGATGAGTCCTTCTCCCCGAGACAGACGGACGGGGAGCTGTTGGTCCTGATGTGCCTGCGCCAAGGCACTGAGGAGGAGGGGAGGAAGCTGGGCGGAGAGCCGGCAATCCGCTTCTCCAGACCTTGGCCTTCACGGCAATGCGCCTCCTTCAGGCAGTACGGGTGGCAGCAAACTTGGTCAGGGGGGGCAACCAGGGTGACCACCCGGCGGGCCATGCGGGCCCGATAAAGGCTCCCTTAGAAGTGCTGTGTGACAGGCGCCAGCTGGAAGATGCTTACGGCCACGCATGGGGCCCCGAAGCCGAGGTTGGAATTCCAGGGTAGTGATGGCTACCTCAAGAAGCAATGGCGCATGATTGCCAAAGGCCGAATTGGGCTACATCCCGGCAAAACACATCGTGAGCGCGCTCCCGGAAGAAGGGGAACGCCCTTCATCCACCCACAAGAAGATCACGGTGGACGGCTGGGACAGGGAGGATGAAGAAGAGGTGAGGAGCCACCCTACATCTCGGCGCCAGCTGGAACGATTGCACCTAACCTTCAGGACGACGCTCCTGATGTGCACGGCAGCACTGCCGCAATTTGGCAACCTGAGGGTCACCAAGGAGGAGTTGGATGACTGGTATGCCTGGTTCTATGGGGAGGACATAGCCGGCAGGAAACCTCCCCCGAGCGACACCACCTTGCTGTTTGCAGAGCGCAATGCATGGCGCAAGATTCACGAGATGGTGCACCAGGGCACCACTCTCTCCGAAGCCCTCAAGAACATCAGGGGCGACTTCCTCTTCTGGCAACGGGAGGTCTATGAGCACCTCAACAGGGCGCCGACGAAGGGGAAGAGCAAGAGCAAGCACCCAAGGTGTGGCAGACTCAGTGGGAGAAGCCCAAGAAGGGGGGAAAAGGATCTTGGTCCTCGGGGCCTACCCATTCCAAGCCGAAGGGCAAGGGCGGCCTCGACCCCATGGCCAGACCACTGGGCTTTCAAGAATCCCAAAGGGGTGGCGTACTGCAGGGATCATCACCTTCGCAACAAATGCCCTGGATCATGCGGTCCACTCCCACAACTGCCCGGTCAGGAAGGATGGGTGGGTGTGTGATGCCCCCCCAGCGTTGCGTGTGCCACAGGCATGCCCACACCTCCCCAAGTGACAGGAGGCCACTCAGGGTGCCATGGGCCCCGTGGCTGCCTGGTCTCCGAAGGGATCACAGGCCACCAGTGCGAGAGCGCACACAGTGGGGGAGAGCCTCCCACCAGAGCCACAGCGGAAGACAGAGTTGGGGACCTCTCCAGGGTGCCACCGGCCCCGGAAGCCCCTCCACCGAAGAAAGGGAGTGGATCCAGCCAGGGCACTCCAGAAGGGCGTTCGATGGACCCAATGGAGTGCAGCCAGAGCGCGAGCACAGCGAGGTGCTCATCGATCTGGGTCACACGGGCCTATATTCAATGGGCGAACGCACTCCACCACTCCCTCATCAAGTTTGACGAGTGCCGCCTGGGCCAGGTGGTAGTGAAGTCCACGACATTGTCAACGGACCTTCCCCTTCACCATTGGCATGATCTGCGATGCAACCACGGAGCTCACCCCAGGGGGGAAAAGCTCAACTCCAGTGACCTCAGCCGGTACCCAGAGCAGATGATGCAGGGTCTCGCAGCGGCCATCCTCTGCAGAGCGGGACCCGTCCTGGAGGCGCTGAGGGGGACAACAAGCGCCAGTCCCTGAGGCTGAAGGCCGGCCAACAAGCGTTGGCGGGACTAACCTTGGGCTCACGTCCGGTCTCGGCCTCAGACAATCCTGAGGTCCGGACACCAACACAGCCGGCGGGCAGGGAGGTCGAACTACGGGGTGAAACTCTTCCCCTTCAGCCATGGGCACGCCATTGCATGGAGATCTCGGATCGGCCCACCACCCTGCCGATCACGCACGACCCAAATCTCTCCGACAAGGTTATGTACCTCCAGATGGCCTTCAAACAGCGCCCCCTCAGGGACGGGGGTGGGAAGCCCTCACTTGGACGGCTGGCCCCGTGGACTCGGCCATTGTCCAAAGCAGCAGCGCTGGGGGCCAAGATCTGTGTCCTCACGTCGCCATGGGGGGACAAACTCCAGGAGTCGCTCTCGTTGGGGGACGGGTCACACCCCTTCCCGGAGGCTGGAAGGGATATCAGGGAGATCCTGGCGCCAGGGGCAGGCCGACCAGCGGAAGGCCAACCCTTCTTCCTGGACATCTTGCACAGCCTCACGATGAACATTCAGGACCCCGACCACCAGTTTCCTCGGGATCTGGAACAAGGGGTCCCACTGAAGGTCACGGACCCACCCCTAGTCTCGCCGGGCATCTGGCCACTCAAGAAGGAGCTAAAAGGGGAGGAGCCGGAGTTCCAGGAACTCCCTCATCCCACGGGCCGGGGTAACTACCCCTCAGCGGATCACTTCAGTGAGCTCATCCGTAGCACATTCCTGGAGGAGGTCCCCATGGGCATGGTAGATGGCCCTCTCACCAAGGTAGAGGCAGCAGCGCGCTGTGGCTGCAATATGGAGGATCTTTGCCCAGGCCCCCTAGCGGGCATCGACGAAGGGGACAAGATCCGCACCATCTACGATGGCTCGGTGGGCGGGGCCAATGACACCATCAGGAACCAGACGGTGGAAAGGACGACGGCTCCGACGGTGCTGGATGGGGTACAAGCTCTTCATTGGCTACATGCGGCAGCTGAGGAGGGACCTCCCTCTCAGGGTGCCCCCGGCCCCGAGAGGGAGGTCGCTAAACCTCCACCCGAGGGCTGGCAATGGCCGGAGCCGGGCACCAGGTGGGTGCTGCTCAAGGCGGACGTCACCAAGGCCCACCGGAGAGTGAAGGTCCTCAGGAAGGACTGGCGGTTCCAGGTGGCCTCACTGGGGGAAGAATGGTGGGTGAACAAGGTAGGCACATACGGCATGGCCAGTGCCCAATCCTACTGGGGACGCCTGGCAGCCCTTCTACTCAGGGTCCTCTACGCACTTTTCCCTCAAGTGGATTGGAACTTCGTCTTTGTGGATGACTTCCTGTGGCTGCTTCGCAGCGAGGGGGCAGTAAACTTGGCGGTGGCGCTGTTGGCAACACTCCTGGCCTTGGGCACCCCGCTTAGCTGGAAGAAGACACATTTGGCGGAGGTCAACACGTGGCTGGGCTTCGTGGTCCACCCGAACATCCCGCAGGTTCTCATGGCCGCCAACAAACACATCCTGGTGATGGAGGTCTTGCAGATCATGGTGGAAGGGCAGGCGATGCACTCAAAGGACATCGAGAAGGCCCTGGGCCGCATCCAATGGGCAACTGCTGCATGTCCGCTGGCGAAGTCGATGCTTCAGCCACTGTGGGCCTGGAAAATGGCCACCACCACGGTGGGGAAACCCCCTAAGGTGGTCAGGATGCTGGCGTTCATGCTGCGGTTCCTCTTCAACACGCCCTTCGTCCAGTACTCCCCTTACTTGCCGAAGTCCTCTTGGTGGGGTTGCAGCGATGCTAGCGCCTCGGATGAAGGACTGGCATTTGTGGGAGGCTGGTGCTCCAACAAAGTGGAGCCGGAGAAGAAGGAGGTGTACTGGTTCCACGAGCAGATCCACGTGGAGGAGTACCCGTGGGCATTCAAGAATGGGGATCCCAAGCGGAGGATTGCGGCTCTGGAAATGCTGGGCACGCTCTTCCTCTGCAACATGATCCTCACGCACCAAGGCCCTCTGTCCTCCCGGGTCCGACTCCCGGTGGGCAGTGACAATCAGGGCAACGTCATGGCGATGCTCAACCTTGGATCCAAGAAGCCCTACACCGCGGCTATCCTGATGGAGCTGGTCTTCCTGCTCCACACCCATGGCTGCTCGCTGGCGGCCAACCACGTGCCCCGGGAATTCAACCAGTGGGCCGATGAGCTGACGCACCCAGATTTCTCGGGGTTCGACCCTTTGCACAAGGAGTTCATTTTTCTCCCGCGTCTCCTGAATGGAGATGCATTTGATCTTAGCGTGGGCCCACCCATGCTCCCGTGACCGGAGCCGGTGGGTGACTCACTTCCCCTGGTGGCAGACCCCCCTGTGGCCTGGGTGCCCCTGGCCCCGGCCCAGGGGCGGGCGCTATCAGTCTGCACACCCGTTCTTCAGTTTTTGAGAGTTTGTGGCGGGTGGCCCATGGGGCCCACCCAGCCGCAGACATCTGACAGGGGAAGATGAGTCCCTGGCACCAACACATTGCTTGGATAAAAGAGTTATCGCTTGCTTGCGTGGTGCCGTTTGGTTAGCTTACATACACATATATATATATATATTTATAGCCATGTATAGCCCATATCTAGCCACACACACACAAACGGGCAACGAGTCACCATGACGTAGGTCCTCTGGGATCCTTAGCGACTGCAGATGTGTCCATTTGGGAGTTTCTTAACAAAGGGAACGTCCACAATGTTTTCTTTTCTCTTAGTTCTGGCCCGTTCAAGCCATCCAAGAAAGTGGGCATGCCGGCGTGTGGCCATTTTACGTTGCTCGAATCGCCAAGGAGAAGGTTCAACCAACCTGGAGAAGGCCGGCCAAGGATATCTCCATAGCCATGGCTATGAATTTTACTGGGGAGCCTGGAAAATTGGGGCGGAAATCCTGTGGACGAAATCCAGTGGAGATGATGCGCAATGATACCCAGAGAATTCCGTAATGAAGATTCATACCCGCAAGGTCACCTGACCACAAAGAATCGGGTCAGCCGCAAGTTGGCCAATTGAGTAAAGGGGCTCCACTCGACTCCACTCGGACGTCAGCGAATCCGTCTAAGAACCCTTCCAAGATTTTCCACAAAGCATTATTTAGTTGGGAAATCACTTTTGCACTTGGCTGTGAACTTTAATGGAGAACACACTCAAAGGCGATTGGTGGGAATGATGTCCACCCCAGAGTTCAACCACTTGAAACTACCCACACATGAGACATTCGCGTTTTGAAGTAGCAAGGCAGCCTTAAAGTGGCATAGCAGTCACAGAAAAGGAAGCCCGACTTTGGTATCATAGACTTACTGCTTGTACACTGCAGACAGTTTAGATTCCTGGCAGCCAGCGGAGAAATGATTTGAGGGGTCCGAGTCCAATCTCCATTTGGGTGTGTCTCTTTTGAGGCTACCTACTTGAAGGGGCATTCTACTTAGTCAGTGTTTAGCAAGCCTGGTTAAAGCCCACTTACCATGGTTATGAGTCTCCTAAGTAAATTACAACCAGGCTTACTAAGCACTTGCCAAGTACCCTGCCACTTGAAGTACTTGTGACAGACTTAAAGGACAACAACAACAAAAAAACGCCGCCATTTTGGGGGTCCAACCTCCAAAAAGCCACCCAAAACACCCCAAAGGACCTGAACTGGGTCGGACCCCAGGCCGGCTCCGGCTCCAACTCCGACTCCCGCGAGGCGGTTTCTTCAAATCCCCACGGTTTTCAGTATCGAACCACCACTGCCAGGGTAAATACATTGGGGTATCTAGTGGCTGTATTTTGTGGCTGTATGGGTATATGTATATATCCTTTTATCTAGTGCCAGGGGTTGAATGGGGTATGTAATCTTCATCTGGTGGCAATTTTTGTGACATACCCCATGAAACCCCCTGGGAGAGGAGAGGAGAGGAGGTTTGGCCACCAGGATATGGCTGTTCGAGCTGGGTTTGATAGTTTGAGAGACATGACTAGGCTGAACTTGTTTTACGGTTTAAGTTTCCCTGTAGAGCAACAGCGAGAACTGCCGTTTTTGGAACTGGAACAATGGCAGGCAGATGGCTTTCATGATAAACAAAAATGCGTGTCATGAGTTGGCCCTTAGACTAGAACTGCCGTCCTTTTGTCACAATGACAGGCAGACGGGCAGATGACTTTGTTCTTGGGGACGATCATTGGCCTTCTATTGAGCCTTTGTTCGACCCAGCTCTCACTCACGTGGAGTGAGCTTGGTAGTCTGGATTCAGAATCTGGTTAGTTTGGTAATGTCCAGTAAACTATGATAGACGTGGGGATGCGTGAGGATGCAAATTGACCGGAGCTATGCGAGGATGCTCCCGCTCAACCTTCTGAAATTGTGAAATAGACGGAGTGCAACTTGGGGGCGCTGTTGCCAGAAGCCCAAGCGTCTGTTTTTTTGAGGGTGGCTTAAAGCGAAACCATCAGGAACCTAATCATTGTGGGGGGGTCCCCCAAAAAGACGAGCCACCCGTATGAATGGGAGGTACTCTGAAGATGCGCCCATGGCTATGGCGCGGGATGACGTTGATTCTCGCGAATTGGAGGAAGGCCCCCCTTCACGCGCTTATCCGGCCGTTGACTCAATTAAGGTACGTTGGAAGCATCTAGTATCCTTGTCAACCAGGCACGATATAATAGCGAAATATATATATATATATATATATATATATATATACATATATATACATATGTTTCTTCAACTTTTGGAGTCCTTTAGGGGAAACAAGCATTTAATGTGCTATTTGGCACCCAGGCACATTTGATGATCCACGCCCAATAAAACTCGATCTATATGTGTGTAATCTTCCTGATGCCCTATGTCGCACCTGGGTACTTTAGTTTTGCAGCTGCACTGTTCTTTTTTGCCAGGTTGACGGCGCAGCTTTAGCAATCACGGCCGAATGTAATGTTGACTTTGGATTATTCCGGAGAACCCTACTAGCTATAGGACCCTGCTAAAATAGACAATCTCCTCACTACCCCTGACTACTACACTCCTCTGGATCAATCCGAAGTTAACACTAGAGCAGACCTGCGGATTTGAGAGGCATCTTGTGGTTGATGCCTGTTGACATGTGGAGATCCCTTCAGATCCCTTCATTCCATACGAGCGAGATATCCGTAAGAGGGTTTCCAGCCGCACAATTTCTCAAAGGAAGGATGCATGATGAATCCTATTCAGACTATTAATTCAGGTTTATATGTATATATGTATATGCGTATACATCGTTTGTTTGAACATTCAACATCAGACAAATCGTAGCAACCCATGTTGGAGCAAGCTTCGCACGGGCTGCGGGTTGTCAGGCCCATCAGACGAGTGGGTGAGGAGGACGGGATAATACGGTGACGCGGTGATGCTGTTCGGGCTGGAAAAGGAGTCAGAAAAGCGATTGGACAGCATCAAGACGTGTAATTAGTGCAAGGATCAAAATAGTAAAAATGGGGGACTTTAGAAGAGCCAAACTAAGAGAGCGTAAGATACTGGTGCCTGAAGTTAAAGAGATGCTTGCTGGCTGGTTCGATTGGCCTTTAAGTTCTGAGACTTCGACACATTTGGCCTTTCGTTGGTTCGACACATTTGGCTTCGGCACATGTTGGACCGGGACCTTCGAACCCACATATCGGTGGCATTCACCAGGGGAACCCTAAACCCTAAACCCTCCTAAACCCCAAACCCCAAACCCCAAATTTGGCCACCCCCAAACTCCCCAAAGGTCGCGCACTCAGTGCTCAGAGACCCGGATTTCTTCGCTCAGTACCCTATTTTGACCCACGCCCAGGTTTTCTGCAGAACTTTCGCGCCTCGCAGGACTTGGCCGCCAGGTTGGAGGAGATCTGCCGCGAGATGGATGCAGCCTGGAAGCCCAGCTGGCACGTGCTGGAAGCTTGGAGCGTCCTAACCCCCGGCCCGCCCCCCCCCCAAAAAAAAAAAGAGGTAAGGAAGAACAAGAAGAAGAAGAAGAAGAAGAAGAAGAAGAAGAAGAAAGCAGCAGAGTATGTCCTTTGCCTGGTTTCATGTTTTTTGTTTAGTGACAATTGCACCGCGCAAGGGATCAAGGAACTTTTAAGTCACCGTTGTTCATTTGATTTGGGCAAATTATAATGAGCGTGCCTGGGATGAAACGCGCTTGCACATGATGAATGCTCTTTACTGGAGGGTTCCCTGCTTTCCGCTTTGGGAGTTATAGTAATTTGCCCATGTTGTGGCAAGCAGGAAGCTTTGACATGCAGCGAACGTGGTGCCAGCAACTTGTTGCCACTTCTTGCAAGAAGCCAAGAAGCCCGCCTACACTGCTCAAGTAGTCATCGGGATGTGAATCAAGCATTGCCAGTTTGGTTGAAGATAGTCGAACTGCTTTTAGTTTGGTTCTAGTCACTTGCTGGTGGACTTTAGGTGTGTTATTTTCCCACTTTTTTCCCGAAGATTTGTTTTAGGAGAACTTATACTTTTTGTTCTTGCAGATTTTCAGAGAAACCTAATGCATTGGGCTCACAAATTTTCACAAGGGGCTTTACACGGAATCCCGAAAAAAAGGGTTGCCGCGAGCCTGAGAGCCCTCTGGCGATTCAAAGATGCGGTTGACGTGGCTGTTGCAAGCAGTCGCTTTTTTTGCTGCACTGTTCTTGGCAGTCGAGTCATTTTATTTGTTCTGTTGGGGGCTTTGTTGGCTCTCATGTTGGCAGGCTGCACCAATCGACGTTTTCTGCTTTGCTGCCAATGCAACACGCTTAGTACATATTTGTTGTGCACATATATGTGATTCTGCTTTCGACTAGAAGCAACCAGTTCGGGGAATGAACCGCGGAAGAAGGTCGATCCATGTGCCGTGAGGTGGGCTTCTATGCAGAGGCGGGACTGACAGGGGTGAAGGTATCGCCAGCTTAGTGAAACCCATTTGTTTTTCCAAGCCCACCTGCTTGTGGACCTCCAATTTATCTTTGTTTTAACTGGAAAGACACTGGTTGGCCGGAGTTGGCCGTTGGAACATTAGGTGATGTGAGTGCCCCATCAACTCTTTCACATGGATTTGGGACAAAGCACTTACTGATCCTTGCACTCGACGCTGTATCAACTGATTGCTTTTACAAGATGATCAAGCCTCAAAACACGTCACAAGCGCTTGTGCAACAGCCTCTTGAACAACCTGGAGGCCTCAGGGTCAATATGTGCTGTCATCTTCCGTCGCAAAGGTGATAGCATTGGGTACACTCACCAAGTTACCATTAACACATATAACTACCCACCAAACGCCAATGCTATTGTTGGGGGGCGCGTCTTATGTAGTATTCTGGATGGTGGTGTGAGTGTGTCACACAGGCCCGTTTTGGGATCGTTTTGTCGCTTTGTACAACAGATGCTGTCATCGAATTGCTGAGGGTGTAGATTAGGTCCCTTTATGAAACTGGTGCAAAGAATGTAAAACAAAGGGGTCCACAAATAAACGCAACATGCCGGACCCTTTGGGCACCCGTGTAACAAGTTGTGTCCTGCCAGATTGTCCCAGCTCGCATTTGTGGATTTTCCGCCGAACAATCTTAGGCAGAGATCTAGCGGGGCTCGCTGACGGGGCCAGTTCAGCATGGGCAGAAAGAAACACTTATAACATATTGATTCCTGAATAATCCTTCTGTTGGTTTATTAGAAAGCATACCAATAGAGGACAGCCTCGATGTTATTTTTTTGTTTAATCATAATAATTTCATGTTTGTATTTGGTGGAACTTTTTGATATTTTGGTGATTGTTTGTCGTTTTCTGAAATTGTTGTTGAGGCTGTCGCGATGTAAATTCGTTGTTTGGCGGCTCGGGTAAGATTTGTTTTAATTTTTACAAAACATATTGGGCTAAAATGAATAAGGGACATTTAACTATGTTGATATGTCTTGTTTATTTTTGGTCGGTTGCATGGTATGTATGATAGATTAATATTATTTTTTGTGTTGGTTTAAATATTATTTTGATAGGTTGTTTTGTTGGTATTGATATTTTTTATGATTTATAAATTTTAATTAATTTATTTAATTGATTATTTAAATATAATTATTAATAATTTATTTAATATATTATTGTTTTTTAGTTAATTATTATAATTTATTTTAAATATATTTTATTTTGGTATATATATATATATATTAGTTCCTGGGTTATGTATCTCCTTTTCTCCTCTTCCTCTTTAATGGTATGCTTTCGTTATTCTTTTATATTATCCGCATTTTGGGGATGATATTGGTTATGCTAGTTATATTGGGGATGTTATATAGTATTGTGCGAGCCTTGTAGCTTCGGTTTTAGATCCCTTTTTCACTTTATGAATTAATACTTTTATATTTCTTATAATATTTTACTCTAAATTAAATTACCTTATAATCTTTTTTTAATCCCTAATTTTAAGCTTAATTAATCCAAAACCTAAACTTATCCGATCCACTATAAATTAATCTTGAATTAACCCTGAATTAATCTTGAATTAACCCTAAATTAACTTACTAAGCTTACACTAACTCCGAACTACACCTAACCATTTAATTACCTAACCACCCAACTACCCAACCACCCTAACCACCCAACCACCCAACCACCCCACCACCCCACCACCTAACCATCCTACCACCCCACCATCCCACTACTTATCCCACCCCCCACAGGGGGGGGGTTTGACTTAACCACCCAACCACCTAACCACCACCCCATAACCCCACCACCACCCCACCACCCACCCACCCCACCTCCATAGGGGGGGGGTCCACGGCTTGGAATATATATATTGTTGATTTTTGTATTTTTAAATTTATTTATATAATTTATTTATATTATATATTTATATTATATATTTATTATTTATATTTTTTTTAAATTTATATTTAATAGGTATTTAATTGTATTTATAATATTATAATTAAATAATTTATTATATTAATTTAAATATAAACATTTGATATATTATATATATATATAATTTATTATATTGTATTTAATATTTATAATATTAATTTCATATATAAATATAAATAAATAATGATATATATTTTTATGAACCGGTAACCGTTTACCGGAAAATTGTTATAGTGGTATTTTGATCGAATTGTAGTGTTTGCGGCGAGCGGCTATGCATGTCCTGATATTTTCGTCGCGGCATAAGTTTTTGCTTCTTCGAGCGGCCCGGAAGGCCCCGAATTTTTGTCGAAATTTCGGGGGGGTTTTAATAATTTTGCTTAGAGTTCCCGCGGCGTAATCCGGCTAAATTTTCCCGAATTTTGGGCGTTTCCGGCGATGTGGCTCTTTGATTTCCGGACGTTACCCCCCCAAATGTTTTTGGAATTTAGTGACTTTCCGAAAAATTTATTGGGCCGAATTTTGGGGGGCAATTTGGGAATATGTCCGAATCGAAATTTCTAGAAAATTTCGTGTCGGGTGTCTCCGTATCTTTGCCTGTGTCTCCCAATTTGTTTCCGTATATTCATATCTATTTATTTCATAATCTCTTTCGTTCTCTTTCTATCTTTGTATATCTCTATATATCCCAATCTGTTTCTCTTTGGTGTTTGTGCCTCTCTGTCTCTATTTGTTTGTTTGTATCTTTCTGTCTCTCGGGTTGTCTCGGTTTGCCCCTGTTTGTCTCTGTTGTTCGTCTTTAGTTCTTTATATCTATTTATGTTTTTTTGTTTATTTCCGCATGTTCGTGTTTATCTAGTTGGTACTATTTGTGTATTCCTATCTTTGTTTTTGTTTATATTTATTTTTACGGGTCGGATTATAAAAATAATATATTTCCTCGTTGCCGCGCCGCTTTTCCTCCTTTTTAGCTCCAATTACTTCTTTTTTTTATTGATTTTGTTTATTTAGTTACCTCTCCTTTTCTTTTTCTCTGTTTTTTTTCTTTCTTTCTTTATCTCTTTTTCTCTCTCTATTTCTCTCTTTATGTCTCTCTTTCTCTTTTTGTTTTCTCTTTCTCTCTTTTTCTTTCTCTGTTTCTCTCTCTTTTGTTTTTTTCTCTCTCTTTCTTTTTTTATTTTTATTTTTCCTTTTTCTCTTTCTTTCTCTTTCTTTTGTTTTTTCTCTCTCTCTTTTCTTTTCTATTTATTTTCTTCTCTCTTTCTCTTTCTTTAGTGCCTCTTTATCGCCCATAGGATGAGGGATAGCTTGCCTAGCTCCTGTTAGGCATCGGCTAATCTTAGGGAATTATTGCCTCCATGTCGAATATCTTCATTGGAAATAATTCCTGCCATATATCTCTTTTTCTCTCCCTTTGCTCTTTTTCTCCCCCCGTTGCTCTTTTTCTCTCTTTTTCTTTTATTCTCTTTTTCTTTTATTCTCTTTTTCTTTCTTTCTCTTTTTCTTTCTTTTTCTCTCTCTTTCTCTTTCTCTCTCTTTTTCTCTTTTTCTTTCTTCTATTTCTAATTCTCGTTTTCTCTTTTTTCTACGTTTCTCATTTGTATTTCTCTTTTTTATTGTATTTTTCTTCTTTTGTTCCTTTTTTATAATCTTTTTTCTTTTTCCCTTTGATTTTTTATTGATATTGCCGTTAACGGAATTAATGAATATATATATATATATTAAATATGTATATTATTATTTTTTTGTTTTAATTATATTAGTCGAAATAGAATTATAATTATTTATATTTATATATTAAATTATTTTTGTTTTAATTATTTTTTTTTATAATATTTAAATTTTTATATAATTATATATTGGTTCATTTATTATTTTTACATCTCTAAAAATATAATATAAATTAAGCAATACTAATTTAAATAATATAAATACAACATAATTTATATTTAAAATGATTCATTATTAATATATCGTTAGTATTTTCGAATATCTCGATTTAAAGGTTTGGATTAAATTATCAACATAAAAAAATGTTATTTAATTAAATAAATATATTATAACGATATATATAAAATACACAAGATATTATAAATTAAGTTTTTTAAAAATCCGATTTTTAGAGAGTATTTAATTCTTTGTTGTTTTTAAAATAATTTCATCTATTTTTTATAAAAACATAATTAATATCTATTTAAAAATCAATCAAATATTAGATATAAATAATTCCAAAAAAGAATAACATTAATTTTTAAAAGAAGATTTAATCAATTAATTAATAATATTTAATATATTTTTTTTCTTTCCATTATAAAATACATTATTCATTATTTATAAAGATAAATTATATCTATATTATCAATCATAAATAAAATAATAATTCAATATAAAATTAAAATCAAATCAACATTTTCATTCTATAATCAATATTTAAGAAAACTATTAAATATACCAAACCATAAAATCATAAAACAAACCACATCAATTCTTGCAAAAATACTATCTATATTCTATAATATTGATTAATATCTCTTTTTTGTTTTGTACAAACAATATTTATCTATTTTACATATCTATAATATATTTCCATATATCAATTCTTATTTTATTCATATTAGCAATTTGTTGTCAAGATTCGATCAAACATTCTATCATGTAGCCGCATGCGTCAAATGCTAAATATCGGGAGGATTGCTCACGTGCAGAATACCTCCCGACTTGATCACAGCTTAAAATCAATAACTAGAGGACTGTATTCCACGCTGGCTTAACTTCCACGCTGACAATGGTGCACATAATCTCAACTAGCAGTATTTCAGCAACAAACGAGCTGTGAGAGACCCCGAAGTGAAGCCTGCTCATCTGGATCCTCACATCTTGCCCTACTGGCTGTGGCTGGTGGGCAAGTCAAGGAGCTTGCCCCAATCTAAAATAATGATTCCTTCTGGGAAAGGAAGCCTGACTCTAGCGGCGCAGATCTCAGAGCTAAAAAAAGGCTTCCTTCTTATTCACCTGGGCTCTCTGCATATCCCGCAAACTCAACTAAAAGCGGTCCAGCAGGTACTGCTATGGGCTGAGACAGGAAATGTAGAGACACCATCACTGGACTGTGCACTTCTCAGCTCTCTCCCGGAACTCCCAGAAGTTCTCCTGCAGGTTCCAAATTCGTAACTCAAGGTTGCTAGACCTTGAGTGGGGGGGAAGGGGGGAACCAGGGACACCTTTCCTTCGAAAAAGAGAAACACAACAAGAGGAAGGCATTCGCTGAGCTGGGACCCACTGGCAAGCCTTGACTTGGAGAGACCGCCGGCTGCAATCGGACAAAATGAAACGCCACGCATAATCGCCCGGATCCCCAAGAATCTGCGCTAGTACCTCCTTATCCTTTAGTTAAACGACGACTTATACACGGCACTCGCAAGCCGACTTCACCATGCGAGGTCCTCTCGGTTGGCTTTCTGCTGTTGTCGAGGGTACCCGCGCGCCGGGTTTTCGGAGCGCTCCTCTGAGTCCTGGCGCCAAGGAAAGCGAGGCGAAAGCGGCTGCTAGGTGTCTTTGGATATGGGTGTGTCTTTTTGTAGCGGACCCCCCAAAATGGTGGCTGTCCTTTTGGTTTCCATTCAAAAAAAACAACATCCATATGGCACCGGAAAGTGAGGAGGCCCAAACTGCAGCTAAATGTCGTTTGCAACTGGCCACAAACAGGTAGGGACTTGGGCAAAGCATGGATGGGGGCAGAAGCTTGCCCAATGCTTGCTTGCCCCAATCTCCAGGGCCATCTTCCATTTGCTTAAGAACAAATGAGAACATATTTCCAGTAGTGATAGGTTCCCTTTAAGACCATCATGATTTTTTTTTAAACAGCAAATGGACGCCATGGACAGAGCAGGGCACCATATTTTTGGTTGCGACGCCGGTACAACCTTCCCGGCTTCAACTTGATGAGCGTTGTTTATTGGGATGGCGGGGGCAAGGGGCAGAAGCGTTCAGCCAAACATTCTTGGGTTTACTGCGGGGGGGGGGGGGGGGGCTGGGATCAAGGGGAATAGGTAAATAAATGCACAGAAATACATCCATGCATGGCTCTTTGGGCATGCCGATTAGCAGGGTAGTTCACAGTGCACTGCTCAAGCAAGGCAGCCGCAAAACAGCACACAAGATGTGCTGTCAGCTGATGCTGAACGCCGCAAAGATCCACGAACGGGCGGCGCGCCGTAACCCTACTTTTGGTTGCTGAATTTTGAAGGGCAACCCGCCCAGGGAAAAATGGAACAAGGACCACACCACTGGAGGCGTTTGTCGCTGAACAGTTCAACTCAGCGCTCCTCCTTTCTGTTTGACTCATCCGCCTTCAGCCCTGGCTCGCCATTCCAGACTGCCTGCGTGCTGCTCAAGCAGCTTTCACACTTTCAGCTGGCGACTCAGTCATTTTCCGGTGCTACGCCCCTCTCAAACTAACATAGAACACCCCCCAAAAAAGGTCTTAAGAGGAGCTTTCTCTGTGTACCTGAGAGTTTTTGTTGGGGCATGTTCAGAAATCTGCAGGGGTGTAAAGCAACTCCGACTCCGCCTGAACAGACCTGAAAATGATGGTGGACACGATGGGGTTCTCCGGATTCTTGTCCGGATGCCAGCGTAGCTGTGCTTTTCGGAGGCTCGCCTGCCGCAAAAGGCAGCTATGAATCTCTGCGCGCCTAAGCCGCCTAAACCGACTGCCGTTTGGACAGCACTTGGGGTTTTGGACATGGGACAATGAAGCTGGTTGAGATCCCGCTACACGATGTCGCGCCTTGCACTTGGAGCAATCCGAGCCCTTCTGCTCACCCATTCGGCAAGGATCGCAAAGGCTTCGCTTGAAGTCTTGAATTTCTCGTCGCACCTGCATAGCCAAAGGCCAAATTCAAGCTAAATGCATGCCTGCAAAATGTGCGTACGCATCCTTCCTCACAAGCAACCACATTGCTAGCGTTTGTGTTCAAGCATGTACCACTAGTGCAGCTTACACGGTGGCAAAGGGAAGCCTCCTCCAAGATGCCAAGGTGGAATTCGGCAAGTGGGCGAATTGTGTGATGCACAAGCAAGCGTCCGCCCGCCTCCTGGTCTCGCAACCATTCCTCATGCAATTCAAAGTGAACAAATGTCGCACAATTCTGAGTGTGTTTGCAAAGGCTGCAACTACGGCAGGCTCATTGGAAACCAACTTTTCCCTATTGTTCGAACACATGACCCCGCAAAGGCTTCCTGTTGCTCATAACCCTCTCCCCGAAAATCAAGCTTGTGTATCAAAACCTGGGTGTGTAAGCGTGGGACCATGGGGCATGAGCAAGAGTTAAAGAGTTAGAAGCTTCCACTCCAAACTATGGCACACTCTCAATGCGGCCAAAGCACTTGGTGCAACTCGCAAGTGGTCTGATGTTCTTGTAGCGCACTACTGTCATGAAAGATCGTTGAACACCCCTCACAGCAGCAGGCTTGGCACCCCGTAGCCAGGACGTGCACCTTAACGGCCTTGTCACTTGCAAAGCCTCACAGGGTTGGGCAAATGTTTTTTAAACAACCCTAACTGGTTTGCAGGGAAAGCAAAACGAGTTTCAAACAAAACTGGTTTATACCACCCACCGAACGACTGTTGTTTCCTCTTCAATTCCTTAAGAGCTGTCCAAAACAGCAGTCGTTGGACGGAAAGGATCTGACCGATGGATTCATAGCTCCGCTTGGTTGAGTGGATGCCTGGGTCACTTCTCATGTTATTACCTTACGTGCCTGCCCCATCGCCCCATGCCTCGCTGGCATCCGGGACACCGCTTCACCGAGCTGCAAAACTTCTCGTGCTTCTCACAGCTGCTTTGGTCGGGGAAGTAGCCACCGCAAGCGCCTCACCATTTGCGAAACGAAGCCCCGGTCCTCCTTGAAGGGAAACCAACACGGGGGTTGTTGAAACCGTGGCTCAAGCCATGGATTGAACAAGGGCTTGGAACGTGGTTCAATTGGGCTGGGTTGTTGGGCTGCGTTGGTCCATTGGCCCGTTGCTATTTTGTCCATAGGTCAATGACTCGCCCAATGGCCTGCGCACATTCGAGCTGCGCATCTTCCGTCCTCCACGTGTTGAACCAGAAGCCCCTCGGTGGGGAAGTCAGCGTCGCAGCCGGGACAGCAAAGAGACACCGGCTGCAAGCCGCCAAGAGATCCAACACTGAAACGCAGCTGGAGGCGCTGCACGAATCCTCACTTGCCAAAGGAACTGCAAACAAAAGGTAGCTCTCTGTCCAATCATGGAAGCGGAGGGATGTTTTCAAAAGGACTCTAGTCTTTGAAACTCCATTTGTCAGCTTTCACGATGGTTGGAAAGACGACCGACAAAAGATGACGCATAGGAAAACAAAAGGTCGCCCAACAAACAGTTTAGGGTGGAAAGCCAAAAGGAGAAGCACCATTTTGGCAGTCCCCCTTTTCAACATTCAAACAGAACAACGAGGTCAAGAAAGATTGATCCGCTTTAGAGAACCAAGAATCGGTTCACATCACCCGTGGGCCCTGTGATGACCCAAGGGTTCTTGCGCGTGTCCTCGTGGATTTGAAGGCCAGCCTTGAGATCTTTGATATTGCCTGGGCCAGACGGCTCTGACCCCCAGCAAACGACACGCCCTTCAGCTGCTGAAACCAAGAAAAGGAAAACCATGATTAGACTTAGGCCCAGTTGTAGAATGTATATTCTAGTGCTTGCTTCCCTTTGAGTCACTGGTAAAATGTAAAATGTATCCTAAGTCTACCCCATAAACCAAAAGGGACAACCAAGCTGCAGAACGGACCAACAACGCAAACAAGGGCAACCAATGGATCGAAAAATAAGCCTTTCCGGCAACGCTGCAACCACCTCTTCCTATGACGAGGCCTGCCATCTTTGGCTCCATCGGAACGATCACCACATCGTATTGGCGCAAGTAGTGCCAGATCTTGCCCACCAAGACCTGGCAATCCTCTCCAGGGTTGAGCCGACCCTTGCTTAAAGCATGCCTAAGGCATTGTTCTTTGAGCATCCTCTGACAGGCCTGACCTTTACTTGCCTGCTCTCGCTGGGGCATAAGGGAATTAACCTCCACATTTGTTCGAGCAACCAGCTTCCATTTGCTTAAGCCCCCCGAAACAAAATGACAATATTTCCAGGCGTGATAGATTCCCTTCAAAACCAAAAGGGGGAAAAAATATCCTGAAGCAAATGGAAGCCAGCCATTCCCTACAGGAACCGGTCATTCCCAAGCTCCCGAATGAGAATTTGCGTTCTAGTTCCCTTTTCAGACTCATGGCAGTGCTTGGTGAAGGGTGTGGTTCCTTTTGTCGGGGAACCCCTTCTTTGGTTGGTGTTAAAGGGAAGCCCACCAGGGCAACAATCGTTTTAGGGGTCCAACCTTTAAAACAAATCGAGGGGGGTCCGAGGCAAGCTTCCTTGAACCTTTGGTCCCCTCCTCTCGCCGGCCTGTTACTTGGCAGGTCGCGTGGCTCTGGCTCGCGTCAGTGTCTTTGGGCACCCAGACTTCTGCTTCCAGGTCGGCCTTCAGCTCCTCAAACAAAACCAAGCACAGTGACCCTGTCACCCTTCTCACATGGAACCTGACGTTCGGGACCCGGTCCCTTTAAAAGGAACATGGTTCAAACCAGGACTCCCCCGAAACCTCAGGTCCCATGTGAACTGGTGGGAGGGTAGGTGAAACTAGATGGCGCAATTTAACCATTTGGATTTCAACACAAGGAGGACATAAAGGAATCGTGTACTTTCTCCCTGGATAAAAAGGCTGCATCTAGAACTTGTACCCCGAAGGGCACCCCTATTGCTGGCTCCGTGGCACATAATCAAACAACACATTACTCGGTAAGTAGCAATGGTATGCAACTCCTACAAGTATTCTGGAAGAAGGGATTTCCAAAAAACATCGTGGCCAATCCCTCGGTTTACCCCCGAATCGGTGGAATGTCTCGCCAAATAGGTCTAGGTGGGCCATCTTGCCGCTAACACCCTAACCTCCAGTCATCCTGTCAGTGTTTCCCTGTTTTGGACTGGGCACCAGCTACCATCTCTAACCACAAGTTATCGCGTTCTGCTGACACTTTGCCGATTTTCGCGTGGTCACACGGGTTTAAAGCAACCAAGCCCAGCTTTGACCATAAGACCTTCAAGCATTTGCGTTTGGGGCGCCACTCGTGACCACTGGCTTTGTCTCATTTTGATTTCGGCTTCCCTTTGACACAACCTCAAGTTCAGGCCCGTGGTCGCTTTGGCCGCCCTATAAACCCCAGCCCGGCCACATAGGCTTCCGATTCTGGCCCAGATTTACTGAACCTGAGAAATCTACGAAAGGTACCCTCCCGCCAACTAGCATAGAACCTGACAGGGGGTCCCCTTCAAAGGAACATGGACTTCCAGCACCCCCGAGCGTCAGGTTCCACGTTCATTGGTGGGAGGGTACTCCTGCACACGCAGGCAAAAAACACACAAAACAAAACGGCACCAGAGAGCTTCCGTGGGTCTCCTGGATGTGCTGGCCCTGCTGCCCCAGAAGTTGCGACACCAGGTGTCGGTTCACTCGCAAGGCCACCGAGCCGAACTCCGCCAGCGCCCGCTCCACCATCTCCTCCGCGTAGTCCACCTGACCGCTGGCTGTGGGCACCGGTTCCAAAGGGGGTTCGTGATTTTGGAGGCGACCCATTTTCAGTTTGCTCTAAATGGGCATGTTGGGGTCTATGAAGTTTGAGACAAGCTCAGTAGGGGTTCGAACTTTGGATTAAGCCGAACTCCACTAGAACCACCCAAAAATATATTCTTACCGAACCAGCAACCACCCCTCAAGTACAGTCTGGATGAATCCGAAGTTGGCATCCAGGTTGGCCAATGTCTGTACCATGGAATTCCCCTTTGCAAGCGGTGGAGAATCACACTTTGGTATACAAAGGTTTAGCCTACCAACACCAAAGTCAAGGAAGTGCACAACTTTAAGGAAGACGACGTTGTTTTGAAAGAGGGACCTCTGCACTTCCATCTTTGTAGGACAAAAGCTATTCCAACCAAGTCAGTCTCAAGTGGATCCTCTTTCATGTCGCAGGCTATGGGAACGTTATCACAAGGAAATATTGCTACTTCCGTTGCGGTACCTGGGGAAAAACAGTTTTTGAAGACAATTGGACTTTCAGCATGTAATTTGCCTTTGGATCTCATGTTTTTTTTTTTTGGGGGGGGGGTCTGAAAAAACCGGCCTCGGCCGGCGACGCCGAACTCACAGCTTAAGGAGGTAAAGAACCGGAAGTCATCCCCATGTCAAACTCCGCAAAAGGGAGCTTCTGGGGGTGAGAGGGCGAGAAAATCTCAGGGATGGTGTGGGAATCAGCCGTGCTCAAAAAGAACTCATAGAATAGGGACAAAAAAGAGAACACTGATTTCTAGAGTCTACGAACATCTCCTTTTGGGATCGGAATTCTTGGTGTCGGGACGTCAGGACAAATGTACCGCAGGAGTTTTTCGCCTTGACCCGGTCATTTGACTCCCAAACATCGAAGAGACGTTTTGGGCTTCAACGAAACCGAAGCGAGCGCCCCGCTTTCCGGGGCCCGGCCTGCCGCTGATTGCCTCGGATCCGCATCTTCTCCTACACACAGAGCTTCAGATCCGGAAGAAGGCCCCGAAAGAGGAAACTTGTCTTCTAAGCATCAGGATCCATGGAAGGGTATTGAGAAGCATGGACCTTTGTGGTTTGCTGGCCAGTCCAAATCCCATACTCTTTTGCTTCACGCTTTTGGTCACTGACACAGGCAATGAAGACCCCCAAAATGGGCCGATTTTTTCTGGGTTTCCCTCACCCCAAAATGGGTACCCTCCAACAAAAGCCACCCACGCCTACTGCCCCAGTCCTCTTCTCGTGACAGCGTCACCCGTGCCTCGCTCTCCAGCTGAATCGCCTTGAGCCGCTTGAGGAGGTAGCGCCGCGCCCCAGGAACCGACGCCAGCTCTCCTGGTAACGTATACGCCCCTTGCCCCGCTTGTTTCATCTATCTGCAAATGTGTAGCTATATGTCCAAAACCTAAGTGAAGCATTGAATTTCGAAGTAAAGTGCCTCTATCATGGTGAGCTCGTTAAAATTGCAGGTGATCTCGCTATAACATAGGCAGATCTATAAGAACGCAAATAGGCAGGAACACCTGAAAGCCTTTAAACCACACTTCAAGGGACTTTGCAGGTTGGCTTTAGAGGTATGCAAGTTCATATACATATATATATATATATCGGCTATATTACCAAAGCAAACGCTTACTTGTACAAGCATTACCTCAAAATCCAATAGACTACTTAAAGGGGCAGGGTACTTAGTAAGTGGTCAGTCCGGTCTATAAGGGAGACACAATGAGCAAAGGAAAGCGCAACAACTCGAATCATCCCCAAAATCGTTGCAACCTCTATGCAACAAAAACTGCGACTCCAACAAGAACCAGCCCCAAACCCTCCGCACCAAGGGCCCCTTTGAGTCACCTGAGACCTGAGGCTCCGGCGGTCAATCCACCGGTTCTCGCGAAGGAATGCCTTCAACCTCTGCGCCACAAGGTCCACCTCCGAAGTTCGAAAAAGCCAAAAAATGGCGCGGGTTTTCAGTAGGGAATGAGAAATGGCATGCGACTGGCACAGGTTCTCAGTAGGGTGCACCATCCTTTTCGCGTTTTCCTTGGGTCGCAAATCCCCAGGTTCACTCCCAAAACCCGACTGACTCCCTACTGAGAACCAGCAAGACAAAGGGAAGCCGCTCAGAAAACCAAGGGTTCATAGTAATTAGCCCTCAGGGGGTTAGCTAAATGGTTGGAGGTTCTAGTTAGAAGGGTTTTGGTGATTGGACTCAGAGTGTTCATGGCCATTTTTGCTAGAAGCGTCTCCTGTGTGGTTTAAAGGGAATATTCCGCATAGGAATCCTTATTGTAGTGTCTAAATTCCAAAGAAATCTTCCCTGCCCCGCCAGAAAGCCCAAAACATGCAACATACAATGATAAATCTATTGCGAATACTGCTTCCATTGCCACTTTCTTTCAGAGTTCCGCAGATTGCCATAACAGGAAGGAAACTCTCTGACCACAGTTTTTGTTGACAAGCTCAGAAAGGGTACCCCCCTTCAAGGCCAGTCCCCGCCATCAACAAAACACCCTGAAACATCACTGCCCTCTCCAGCACTGGCAAAAAGCAGTAGGATTGGCCAAGATAGGAACTACCGGGCGAGCCTCCAAACACCTTTTCCTTTGCGTTGGTTTCTTTCTCCTGAATTTTGACGACCTTGATAGCTGGCTGAGAGGTTTACCAATCAGCAGCAATCGTTGTCAAACTAGCCCCCCAAAATGTTGATGTCTCTTTTAGCCTCCCTTTGAACCAAGGTGGAAAAGGGTAACTACTCCCAATTACTGCCAAAACACACACACAGACCAATTACACGAACCACCCGTTGAGCAAACAAGAAACCCTCTCACACCCGCCTCTTCCTTTGGACCAGTGATCCGCACGAATGGGTCCATGTCTGGCCCCACCTTGATGTGCACCTTCCTGAGTGTTAAACGACCCGTGTGGCCCATCTGAGTAGGTCTTGTTTAGGGGACCCCCAAAATGGCTTGGTTTCCCTTCAAAACCACCAGAAAGGGGTTCCCTCAAAAAAGAACCCTCCCCATATGGTGAAACCTGGCTACCTCGCACACGCAAATGCGCTCGCTTGCCGCAATGTTTCGTGTCACAGCAGAGCTGCTTCACGTTGACGCCCTGCCTGCCGATGATCAGCTTGCGAAGCCAGGCGTCCTCTTCTTGCAGCTGCTTCGTGCGGACGTGTTCCTGCAATTCGGCCACCACATTCCTGGGCCGGACTGCTGTTTGCCCGGCACAAGTGGCAGGTGTTTGCTGGTTGAAAGGGAGAGTTCAAGAAAACCCAACAAATGGGTGTGTCTTTTCTTTAGGGGACGCCCCAAGACAGTGGGTTTTCCTTTTGGTTTTCCTTTAAAGCCACAAAAGACCCTCAAAAAACACACACAAATCAAAATGCTACACAGCTCAAGTCTGGCAATGACTCTTCATGGCATCCCGGCTAGATGCGTTGCCCCAGAAGTGCACCAAGTCAGACCGCTCGTCAACGGAACATTTCACCTGTCTTTCAGTGAGCACCTGCAGGGGTGAAAGCTGTGCTGCCAAAATCCCCCTTCAGCTGCCCCTATTGCGCACGAATGGACTCTGGCTAGAGGCCAGCACCTGACGAAAATAGGGACCACTGTGCGCCGGCAGCGACACAGACTCCCAAATCCGCGCATGCTCCTTGACAAGCTCCAAGATGCAGGACTTCATGGCAATCACCTCAAGGCAACACCATTGAAACCCCCAGTTCCGCGGTCTTCCCCATATGAAGTGCGGAAACCGAAAGTACCAAGCTGCCGCTGTGCATCTCCTACCCATATCCACCATCCAAATGCAGGGGCAAGCTGAGCCACAACCAAAACCTGTACTTAAGGAGCCGAACTACCCAAAATTCGCTAAGAAACTCATTCGGGCGCCGCGCCTGTTCATGGGTTATGACTGTGCGTTACTATTCGTCGCTTCCCTGGACATTTGGTTGTTCAGCTGAGCCCGCCTGCTCCTTCTCACCGCCCAGCTGGGCCAGCACTTCATTTCGAATGCTCAGGTCAACCGAAGGGTATCGGTTCCTTGCAGTGGCCACGGAAAAAAAGGGACACCCTTGTTTTTGCAGACTAGTCTCAAAGGGAAATCGGGTTCCTTATGCATATGTGTGTCACCAACAGTACACACACAGACAACAGTGAACGTTTGACCACAAGGTGCTTCCACCAACCAACCAACCAACCAACCAACCAACCAACTAACCAAAAAACATCTGCAGATTTGCTTTTGCAAAATCCGCCGACCCTCTGCCTCCCGTCCCAGCCTCCTGCAGAGGGGACCGGCGTGGGATGCAACTGGAAGTGATTGGAATCAATGATAGTCTCTGGGGGACACGCCCGAACGCACGAAAAGTGGATTTCTGGGACCGGTCCCGGGACCGGTTCTGGGACCAGTCCTGGGACCGGTCCTGGGACTGGTCCAGGACCGGGGTTTGGTCCTGGGACCGGTCTCAGGACCGGTCCTGTGGGACCGGTCCTGGGACCGGTCCTGGGACCGGTCCTGGGACTGGTCCTGGCCAGGACCGCTTTCAGGACTGCAGCCGGTCCGGGATGGAGTCCTGCCACACCTCAAACCGCTCCAGACGCCTTTCCGGACTGGCACCCGTGTTTCAGGACACTGCGCCAGACTGGGACCAGCCTGTCCCGGTCCCTGCCGGCGACCGGTCCAGGGCAACTTCGGGAGGGCCAGCTTCAGGGCGCTCCCGGGCCAACTCGAAGTGACTTGGGCGCAAGCCGGCCCAAGCGGTGATTAACGGACTAGCTGCCATATTTCTGACTTTCCGTTAATCCTTGTTTGTGGTCGTAGAGGATCTTATAAGTGGTCCCTGGGTTTGCGGACGTGTTTCAGGACCGGTCCTTGTGACTTTTCCCTTAATGCGCCGAGGGTCGGCGGCAGCAGGCGGGAGCCTGGTTAATAATTTCAAGACGTGAAACAAGGTAAAGGATCTACATCCTGGTGAGCTCGTTTTACCCACGAATCAGTAACCTCGCACGGGCAAGAGACATGTGTGTCTCTGTTTTTAGGGCGCTTTGCTTTTTGGGTTTCCAAAGAAACCAACCAACAAGGGGCTCCCTAAAGAAAGACACTCCCATATACAAGGATCCCGAACCCCGGGCACAAAGTCACAAAGGTGCCACAGTGCCGCTGTGGCTCTTAAAGTCCTGCTCCCACAGGTAGTCCTGGCATCAGCTAGGGGTAAGCTACCCGCATTTCGTAGGGTCAGGAATCCTTCGTTCCCCAAAAAATACGGCAAAATCATGAAATAGGTTGGTGATTCAAAAGATCGGTTGTTGCTTTATTGCCGTTGAGCCCTCTGTGAAAAGCTTAACAATTTGTGGGGCCAATGGAAAATCCACTGTTTTAACCAAAAGGTTCAAGTTCCAAAATCAACCAAATAGCCATGAAGGTCGACTGCGGAAAATCCATCTCGACCAGGTGACCGCAACCCCTGTGTGTATTCTTAAAGCGGAAGTCGGGAATGCTCAGCGCGTCTTGGTTTCGAATGAGCCCGTGACCGATTTCTTAGTTGCCCCGGGACCTGGAAACAAAAGCTTCACCTGTGACCTTGACTGAATATGGGCCAAAACAGGAAGGAGCAAAAACCAGAGAACAATCAAAGGGAATTCAGTGGCTTGCCAACAAGCCCTGTAGGGACCCTTCCACCAAAAGTGGTGGGAAATGGATCCTTAGATTACAAATACTTGTTGAAGGTCGATTCGCTTTGGGTAAAGGAGCCAAATACCATCGAATGCAATACTCCGGGGCAATGTTCAGCACGAAACCTTGCACTGGGTCAATCCGCACTGAAGGCGCAGCTTACTTAAGGGGCAGGGTACATCAAGTAAGTAGATAGTAAGCCTGGTCATAACCCACTTACGAGACTTATAGCCATGGAAACCGGGTTATACGCTGGCTTACTAACCACCTAAGTACCCTTCCGTTCCAAGTGGGGCTTCTCATGGGGAACCCTTTCGAGTGAGTCAAGGGAAAACTAGAGGAAATAAAGCCGCAAACATTTTGAATATCCAAGCCACGACCATTCCCTTTGCAACCAGAGGAAACACACAACGTTGGGTTTAACCCGGGTTGCTAAACATGGGGGATCTTTAAGCCCAATTTGTCATCCGTAGTGGGACGCCACAACAACAAGGGAAACTACTAGCATCTGGCAGGGGTAAGGATTGATTTTGAACAACCCAGCTTAAGTTAAGGCAGAAAGGAGCACACCCAGTTAAGCCCGGAACATATCAACGCTGAGAGACCCTTCCCACAAAAAAAAGAAGAAGTGTAAAAACAAAGGTGCCCACCGCCATACTCCTTTGGGTGTGTCTCAAAATAGTGCACCCCTTGTTGGATGGTTTCAAAAGCAACCACCCGGGCCCTCCCCAATCTTGAAAACATCCATTTGTGCTTGTGTTGATGCGCTGTGTACCTGTCAAACCTTAATTAAGCCCTATGGGTAGGTGCAAAAACCCAAACGGCCCCCTCCCCCTCGCTCAAGCCACATCCCGCCTTGAGGTGCGCGTCCAACAACTCCACCTCCTCAAAGGCATAGGTCCCCAAGACTCGCTGGTACTGGCGCACCGCCTCCTCCACCTTTCCCACCGACGCGAAACCGGGTGCTTCGGGTCTGTGGCTTTGAGGGTGCCGTTTGGGTGGGAGCCAACAGGAAAAAACGACGAATTTGAAGGTCATGGTTTGACACATACCCACTCAAGTTTTGTTGCGAGTACCTTTAGAATTGCGGGGGAGGGCCCTCCTTTTGACCACACACACCATTTGTCTGGGGATTGGTGGTGATGCCCGATTCTGTCAACCCTTTTGCTTCGCAATATGTTGTGACTCTGCTCCATATTTAGTCTACCCAAGGGACACTTAAGCGGATGATTCCAAGGTTCAGAGGAAACACACATGTAAATGCCCAAAAACGCCGGCACTGCAAATCCCCAAACAAAGGAGTGGGCATTTAATTCCAATCCTCTTTTTTTGTTTTTTCCGCGCACCTGGCGATGGCTTCCCCAAAAGGAGATGGACTCTTTGCTGATGCGGTAGCTGGCGCCGGTGGCCTTAAGCACCGAGTTGACCTAGGAGCGATGGGTTCCAGCGGCTTCGAACGTGGTTTCACGGGGGAACTGGAGAAGACGGCGAACGTGTCCTTTCCGTCAAAAGGAATGTCCGTTTGGGTGCCCTAACCCAAAAGGGGGTTCAAAAAGACACACCTGCATTGGTTAGCCGCAGTTCTGGGCAAATTGCTAGCCTCCAACCATCATGGAAGCTGACAGAAGGGTTTAACTCTACTATACAAGGCAACCAAGATTTATTACCTCTTGGCTTTTCCCCTGATTCCCCAATGTCAACTCAGATGCCCAGTGGCCATCGGAAAAAAAGGCATCCTTCTTTTTGGCTGTTCGAGTTTAAAAAGGAACCCTCCCCCCCCCCAAAAAAAAGGACCCCCCCAAAAAAAACAATTAAACATAACAATCTACCAAAAAACACACACAAACCCACATAATAATAAAACAACAACGGCACCACTGGAAAGAAGAGGGCGGCATCCACCGGGCAACTGGGTCAACTTCCGCTTCACATCACCCATGGAACTTCACACTTCCGAGGCCTGGGCCTGGCTTTGGGCCAAGAAGACCTTGCCGTGGCGGGGGATCTCCAGGTCCACGGAGGACTCGAACCAGGAGCTCCGCACCTCCACCATCTGGCCTTGCGACCGAAAAAAAGGAGCACCGCCCGCCTCACCTGGGTCCTCCAGTAGTAGAGGTTAGAATAAGGGTACCCTTTTTCTGTAGTCCATTTTGGTAGGGGAACCCTCCCCCAAAAAAGGGTGAAAGGGCACTACTGACGGACCTAGTCACTGAGCCGCCTTCAGTGGATGGAATCGCCAGGCCGGGAATTCTTTGTGTTTGCCACCAACATGGTCCCGCAACATCTGGATGGGCCAAAAGTCCTCCCCGGAACTTTGCTGAATTGCCATCCGGGAAATGTTTTTTTGCCACTGAAACGGGCATTTCGGAAATAAGGAGCTCTTTGTACTTGCCGCTGAAATAATATTTCCCGCCAAATATGAGGCTCAAAAACTCGGGAAGCGAGTATGCTCTTACTCTGAAACAAACAATCATTACAATGATGCATGGATAGCGCTTTTGACATGCCGCTGTGCGGATCGACGGCGATTCCATGTCTGGACTTCATTAACATGGACACAAACCGAGCATCATCTTTACAGGAACCTCCTTTTGGCGCACCCCGGTTCCAAAAACCTCATTTGCGGCAAACAAATCCCGCCGATGAAATCGTACCCCAGCCTCCACAAATCGAGGTGGCCTTCTTGCTGAAGTCCTCCGCTCCTCAGCTTGACGGATCCCACCTCCAGTGGCCATGGGAAAGGGGCGCCACTTTTCGTTGTTCCTTGGTTTCAAAGGGAACCCCCTGCAAACCACAAAAGCAAAAGGGGATCACTCGGGGTTTTGGCGGACAATGTATCGCGATGTCTGCAACCAATGATTTGTCGAGGGTGTTCCGACCAACTTAGCTTGTGCAGATGCGACCGCAACGCCTACCCTGCCGCCTGAGTTCCGTAGGCATCCACATCTTCAAACAGCTTCACTGGCACCTCGTGCGGCAGAAACATTCACAACTGCGCCCAAGCTAAGTTCGTATCCCCAACTGACATGGGATTCTGGGTGAACCTAGATTTCCTGCTGGTATTTTGGTGCGAGTGCCCGGTGTCATCTCCTTTCCTACCGCAGACAAATGTACTTACATGTTGACCGTTGCTCATGCACAAGATTACATCAAATGGCAATGACTCCTGACAAGTGGCCAACGTGTTGTCTGCAAAAGCCATTTGAAGACAGTAGAGCCTGCGGTTGTCCATGCTGACGTTCCTCCCGTCATGCTTGACAACGCTGATGCGCGGAAGGTCATACATGAACTTCCTGCAGTTTTGCAGCTTCTCAATGGTTTCGCTCAGCTTGGTGCCGTTGCGGAAGTTGTCCGCAATGGTCGACTGGGAGAACAAAATCTGTCCCAGTGGCAGATGCGTATTCTGGAAGCGCTTCGTGTCGTCTGGAATCAGCACCCAGTCGTCGTCGCGCTCTCCTCCAGGGGTCACTGAATGTCTCGTTGGACAGTTGCAACTTACTGGTGGGCCTCACTGGTGGGTTCTAGTGAGACTGCCACTTTTGGAGGTCCGAAACAGCGAAATTGAAGGACCCCTGTCCTTTGGCCTGATTCCAATCACGCCAGCAGTGGCTGCAATAGCCTGTGGCATATTTGGCATCACTGGCCAGATCGGCCCAGCATGCCCTGCACCATCCTTTTCCGGCCTCAGAATCAGACCACATGTGTTCTCAGAATCAGATGACATGTGTTGCCCACAAACAGGGATTGCTCCCTGGTGGTGTCTAGAAGGAAGCTTTTTGACGGGTCCCTTCCCCACCTGGTACGCCGGCCCCTTCCTAACCTCTGTTACGCCGGCAACAAACTTTGTCCTTTGCAGCACCGCCCAGTCAACAAAAAGAGCAGAACCAAAGAAGACATGTCAAACAAATGGAAGGTCCCCCAGCAACATTTCACTGCCAGGTGTCCTTGTGGACAAAAATGGACACATCCCGGATTCTGCTTTCAGATTGGAACCCAGAAAGGGCCCCCAAAAAGGAGGTTGCCCGAAACAAATCTGTCTTCAGGTTCCACATGGATTTGCGGGAGAGCAAATCTGAAACCAATACTTTCTGAATGCCAAGCAGCCTTGTGGCCAAAAGGCTTGGGCGGCATCACTGTCTCAAGGTTCTTAGAGCCTTACGCATCGGTTTGACAGGGCAAAACAAAAATAGTCCCCATGATTTTTCCCCTGAAATATTGACCTGCCACAACAAAGCTTACTTTCAGGACCAAAAGGGCTCTGGCGTCTGTTGAGGGAAGCCCAGGAACCCAACCGTTTTCGGCCTGATGAACACAGCCCATCTGGAGTGGCGACTTTAGATCGATTCGTCGTTGACACCACGGAGGCGGGGCACATGAAGAAAAGCTCAACGCTCAGTCGCCATCGCGATCACTGCCAAACCACCCGGCCAATGTTCCAGCAGATTCCAATGGGAAAAAGGGGCACCTCGTTTGCTTCTTGAACTTGACACTAAAATGGTTTGCCCCTCAACAAGTTGAACCAAGTCCTTGCAGCAATGGAGGGCTAGGGCTACAGCGCCTGTTGGTTCTAAAAGCCTGAGCGTTGTAACTTCAGTCGCAAGATGTTTCTGCAAGCGCTTGAACTCTTGAATCCCTGATGTGAACAGGCACGCTTCTGCCAAAGCGGAACGCCAGAGTATTACCACACGAGAAATGGTTTTTAGAACATCCACCAAGATGGCTACCTACTCAGCGTATCGTCAACCCCCCCCCTGACGCATCGTATCTGCATAGCTCAAGGGGTAAGCGCACTGTCCTGGTTCACTAGTGAGTTACCCCGCCCACTCCCCAACGCTGTATCCGGAGTTGATGGCTTCCGTTTCTCCTATCTGCGATGAACGCATGCCGAAGGTACATCTGGAAACATCAGGTGTAGCACAACGGCCCTAAATGGGATCACCCCAACGAGCCCATCGCTGACATTCAGGTACATGGGTACGTCCCAAAATGAGGAACCCCTTGTGGATGGTTTGAAGGGGAGACCAAACGGATTTCGACTAGCAGGCTTTGGTCAAGCGAAGCCAACAATTGAAATTGGGCCCCTTGGAATCCAAAGCCACGAGCGCTGGGTGTGACTGACCACTTTGGTCAAGTGAATTCCGCCTGGAAACTTGCACTCCAGAATGACAGGCCACGCTGTTTCACAGCTATGGCACCGACATACTACCAAAGATTCAGGTCTGAATCTGTCTATATTGGTGCTTTCAGAACAAGTTGTCCAGTCCAAATTTGCCCGCGATCATGTAATGTCGGAGCAGATTCAATGCCTGCGACCAGCATGAACCTTTCAAAGCATGAGTTCCCTTGACGGAGTCAACAAAGTCATTGAGTGCCAATGTCACACAACGATCAATCACCTGGAGGATTTTGCAGTCTCTATGGGATTAGAGCGCGGTGATACAGTTGAATGCGTGCCCAACAACTGTAGCAGGTGGTTTCATGCGCGGGATCCCACTCATAAAGCTACTTGGCATCCGGCACAACAGACACCACTCAACAGAATCTGCGAGAAGAAGCGCGGGGTGCTGTCGCATTAGGCCACTATATTCCTTGACGCCTGTTTTGTCTACCCGCTTAAGAAACATGGCTGCAACTTTTTGTGGGTACTTTCTTGAGGGTGGTTCCCCCGATTCTGACACATACTCACGTGGAAATCCGGAAAGAAGACGGAGCTAAGTCAAAGGGAGGAAGGACTTGGGCATAAGGTTGATCACTTGGGACGGAACAGAAAGCAAACCTGGACATGAGGACTGAGCCGCATGGGTGCTCAACTTGCACGTCTGTCCCAGCTGGCTGTGCTATATTTCAGCACCCTTGACCCCAGTTTGACACACATGCCTCGCAACATGCAGGGCCTGCCATTGCATCGACTTGCAAGACTCCATTTGTCAGGGGTGCTTTTGCAACAGCCACGTTGACCTGAGATATGTTTACCTGCTTCAGTGGCATGCCTGGGATCCACTGGGTGTTTGGGACCCCCCCCAAAGAGCAAGCGACTCTGCCAGTCGTGGGAACAAACCGCGCCGGCCTCGCGTCGCACCTGGCCCGCGGAAGATTTGGCTTGCCTTTACTCCTGTTGGAAGCTTGGAATAAGATCCCATGAAAACGGAGGGGTCAACTCGTGGTCCGGACTTTTCAAGAGAGAGATTCCACTGGAACATCATGGGCAACTTAGTACATGTCACCAACCGAAAATAAGGGTCCCTTTCATAGGGCACCTTCATCATCGAAAGGCCCCTCCCAATCACAGGACTTTGGCCCAACCAGATCATTTCCTTCCTAACAGGGAACCACCCGTGACGAGCGCTTTGGGGTTTTCAAAGGGGAAACCAAAAGGACACCCTTGCCATTTTTTATTGTGTTTTAAACACCCAGGCAGGCTCATTCCATTGGCGAAGGAACTGCCTTTGAACAGTTTGGGCTTCCGGGGCGTGCCTCCAACAAGCTCATGACGACACTCTATTCCTTTTGCATCCCTTGGAAGAAACCAAAAAGAAGCCCAAGTACGAGGAAGCAAGCCACTGCTCGAGCCTGATTCTTCGACCTCCCAACATGGCCCTTTGCATGTGACAAACACTGACAAGGGTACCTCAAACAAACTGTCACATATGCATGCATGTGCATGTCGTTCCCGCACTCCAGCTCACATGCCTCAAAAAGCACCAGAACATGGCTGGACAAATCAAGGTTTGTCCTGCGTGAGAGCTGATAACATAATGCTGCTACCTTTTATTTTGATGCAAGTGGTCGGCAAGACATGAATCCTGCTGGCAAAGTCCGGCACACCCAACAGGTGGAAGGCAGGGCAATCACTAAGGACCTCAGACTTTGACCCCCAACAGTCAAGAAAAAAGGGTCCGGCCAAGAAACAAAGGCCCGGAAGTCTAACTGATCGACTTTTCCTGGGTGCAAATCCTCAAAACGACCCTCAAAGTCATGGTAGAAAGGGACACCACCCCTCAGTGACACCACCCCTCAGTGATCCTGAGAACCCGCAAGATGCAACTTGGGACTCAGTTGTGGCCTGGGAGTCCGGGTCAGTCTTGACCAGCTTGGCAAGTACCTGCCCAAGAACTCAGAGGTATCGCCGTCGCCAACAACTGCAACGAGGAACCCGAAACACATGGTCTGGGGGTACAATGAGTGTACCCATCATGAAGATCTTCTCCTTTTTTTCCCGCTTCAAGCTTGTGAATGGGACTTCCAGTCTGGATGCCCCGCAAGGTGAGTGCCAAGCACCTGGACCTGACTTTTGGTTATACCAAAATGGTTCCAAAGGAGTTTCGAACAGGTAAGACAATTTGGCGCGTGAAAGGTGAACGATAACCATTCATCTGCATAGGGACTTGTATATTTTTCGAACCCCCCACATTGCTGGAGTGCATTGAGACGCTTGTTTGGAGACCACGGACCAAACTGCTTGCTGATGGCTCATTCGCGTAGTCCAGTGACCTCTAAGCTCATGTCAGAAACTCGATGTGCGATCCAAGCGTGGAACCCTGTTTGTTCGAAACATAAAGTAGCCTTTTGAAGATAATGCTAGTCTTCCAATCCTGTACACTTGTATTGATTGTTGAATCAACGCAATATAGAGGGACTAAACAGTGTCACGCATGATTCCTTCTGATCATGACTTAGTTTGGTTTTTAAGTACCTCTTCCCACTACTCAGATTAAGGGGAACCCTTTTTGGGGGGGGCACTTTGGGGTTCTATGCTCATTTGGGGAGTATGCTGGTCCCTCGTAAGGGGGATTGGCGCTTGCGAGCACAGCTACGGTGCCCAAAGGCCTTGTCGCCCTTGCGCACACCGCGCTTGCCAGCGCAGTGCAACGCCTGATCAAAGACAGAAAGTTCTAGGGTCGCTAGAAAGGGCTTGGGATGAACAAATGGCTAAAACAAAAGAAGCCGGTATCACCTTCTCCAATAGGTTCAGATTCTCAGAACAAATAAGGGAACGACCCTGTACTCCCCTGCGAATAAATCCCAACACCTCTTGTTTAGAAGCGGCCCCGACTTTGGGGTTCCGTGTTGATCAGCCCGGTAAGGCTCGTTGTGGGTAAGCTGCAAGATCTTGACTTCCTTTACCCTATTTATTTCCAAGAATTGCAAGTAGACCGTGTCGGGTTTCGGACGATTTGGCTCCTCCACTTCCAGGATTGTTGAAAACTGACAATATAAGGAGCAAACTTATTAAAATGGAGGGTTTGGGGTGCCAGAAAACAAAATTAAGCCATGACCATGGGAAAGCATTGTGCCTACTTACTCAGCCCCATGCATTGGTCACCCGAATGCTGCAAGTCGGAAAAAGGAACGTCCCTTAAATCCACAGATCCTGCCCCCCCATGGTTGTCTCATCGCAGATCCCAGAACAAGGGTATGGTCAAATCTGAAAACCAGGTCTTCAGGGTCTCTGCTTTTCGACTCCTTTTTAGCAGAAGAACGGGGACCCAGCACGAGCAGGAGCCCGCTTGAAGTTGGTCCCTTCATATTCCCACAATCGGGGTGAACATCTGCATACTGAATGGCACAATTGTATTGGGCATCGCGAAGGCTCGGCTCGGACTTGCACACGAGTATTTCCCAAACAAGAGGGCCGCAAAAAATGTTAGGCTTGGAGCCTCTAGGTTTCTCTTCAATCAACCATTGCATTGGTCACATTTGAGACGACCCTGTATCCACCAGAATGTTGCGCTAGTTTCGCTAGTTTGGAACAACTCTGTTGAATCTGGGGACCTTTTGCTTGAGATGGGATATATCTAAGTCCCAAAGCGCTCTTTGCCCTCAAAGCTTCAGCTAAAAGGTGAGATGGACGCCATGCATCCGGATTCTCCAAATGAAGCCCCAAAAGTAGGCAAATTCCACCTTTCTTTTCCCTTTGAAACGACCCCAACCAAAGGCTCCAAACACATGAGTGGTGTCTCCCTTTGGCTTCCCCATGTTTCACGAAACCCCGAAGGTAACGTGATCCCAGTGGGCAACCAAAGGGAACCAATCAATCCTGAAGGGGGCTCAACATCTAACGGCTCGGATCAAGGCAGCTAGCAACCCTCGAGCTTCCAACCACTTGCCATGACTATGGATCTCGTCCAGACCAGCAGGAAATTAGCTGACCTTTTCAATAGCACAATGGGGTCAACCTCGATCACAAGCTTCATTCCCTGTGACCAACTGAGGCAATGGGACAAAACAGTGTGTGAAAATGAGAGACCCCCAAAATGGTGTTTCCACTTGGCTTCCCTTTCTACCAACCCCTCAAATGGTAATCACCCTCAAACAAACATAACATGGAAACTAAAGGTTAGCCGGGCTTTGGGCAACTGAGCTATTCCTAGCACGCGAACTCGAAACTTGCCTCCATGGTGGCGAGTCGCACCGACACATCCTCGTCCTGGCCGCTCGAACCTCTAAATAGAAAACTGCTGTTTTGAGCTTGGTTTGGAAAGCCAACAGAAAAAACAAGTTTTGAGTTTTGAGGGGTCCCGTTGGACACATATTATTATCTTCTTGAAGGGGTCGTGTATGAATGGTTTCCTGAAAGGCTTCCCTTTAAACCAGCCGCAAAAGGAAGTGGATCTTGAGAAACTCGCATGTGAAACCATGATTCTCGTAACAACCCTTACCTTGGTCTCATGGTTCCCGGGGATCGACATGATGGAAGATACATCGATGGAGGGAACCCGGTAACCCCCCTTTCAGGGGGGGTCTTTCGATGGACACGAACAATTTGGGATCCTTATGAAAGTTTCCTTCATGGCACATCGCCCATCACTTGCCATGGCAATTGCAAAGAGCAACCTCGATCCACACCCGCCGCATCAAGACGCCTCGGCTTTTTCGAGCGCCGAGACGCCACAGCCTTTGGCTGGGCATCGCTACCAACGCGGCGAGAAAACGATCCGTCGGGGCCAGGAAAGCGGCCAAATGCTCTTACCTCAAGTAGGCTGACAAGGCTAGCTCCTTTCGAAACCTGTTTCGGTGTACTTTTGGGCCGCAGAAAGCTCCTACAAGAGTCGCTATGTCAACCTCTAAAGACTACTGGGCGCCAAACTTCTGAACTCAATTCTCTGCACTGTGACCAACTCATACCATATTTTTGACTCTCCAATACTGGATGCAGATGATTGCCGAAGCTTTGCAGGGTTGTGAGCAAGGTGCCTTTTCAGTCCAGGCAAGCGCCTGCAGCCAGCAACCGTGTTTGCCTCACCTCGGAAGTGAGTCTGAACGCTTTATTTACCACTAAACCGGTCTTCCCAAAAATCTAGTGCTACCTTCCCTATTCTTTCCAGGGATCCTTCTTTCTAGAAAACCTCCGGAAACCCAGGGAAACGGCCAGTTTTGGAAAAGAACGATGTTGGAAAGAACGGGGAATCAACCCTTGGAAAAAACAACAACTAAAGTTCATCAACCCGGGAAGTGAGTTGCAGGTTTGTCTCGTCTTTCAAAATGCGCTTTGAGATCAGGAAACGCACTGCCTCTCCGCAAGGAGCTGGCCTCTGACTCACATGTCCCAGCCCGATCAGGGATCAATTTTGGTGAGACATACAGGGCAAACCTCCATCGCGCCGCAGGGTGTGTCGTGTTTTGAGGGTACCCTTCCTTTCTTGCATAGGGGAAAGCCACCTGTTCGGTGGGCGCCTATCTTTGGCGCCATTACTTTACCATTGTCAAAGCCGCCCCCAACTAGGTGAAAGGGAAACAACCGCAATTTCTGACTTTGATAACCCCTAGAAACAGTCAAAATGATAACCCCAGTATTTGGAGACATACCATGCGCGCGGCTCAGAATCTGGGCATTTGCTCATCAGAGATTTCATTGCCAGCCAGGTCCACCTCCTGTCGAATGCTCTGCGTCGGTGGGCATGGCCTCCCTTTCTGGGTGAAGATCAGCTTCGCTCGCGGATTGGATTGGTGGTGTGGTTAGAGGCGGGTTTCCCATGCCTCTACAAGGTAGCCAGGGGTTCAAATCCTTAAACCGATCAAACCACCAATCCAAACCACACTTAAGGGAAACTCAGCACCCCTCAACAACTGAAGCTGAGATGAATCGAGTGCTATAACAAGAACGTGTTGGGAAGCGGACTCATTAGTTCCGGAAGGTGAATACCCCCGTGTCAAAACGCAGGCCAAGTGAAGATTGGAGCAGACATGCACATTAAAGTTGCCCATGTGGCTCTCTTCGAGTTACCTTTTGAGAACCTATAGGAGGGTTCCTGACTGTTACACATGATGCTCACATGCAGACACGCACAGACACACCAAAAACACATCAACAAACAAAATCAAAACAACAATTGAGCAGTGCCCAAAACCAATTGAGTTTTGGTTCTACTAACATGTTTGTAACGGGTTTGTGTAGCTTTCTGCAACACCTATGTAGCCAGGGAATAACCACCTGCTAAAATGGTGTTTTCTTCGGCTGTTGTTGGGCGCTCAGTTGGTTATTGGCAGTATTTGGCAGTCTTTCAAGGACAGCATGTACTTGGCAATTGAACTCACAAAGGTGACTCGTCTGGTTTCGAGGGGTCCCCTTTGGCTTATATACAGGGAAACCAAAACGAAACCAATCGTTTTGGTCGGGTTCCCCATGCCAAACTCTTGGAGACCAGCCGCGGTCCTTCAGCGAAGGGTGGCCTGCACCCGGCCGGCTTTCCGAACCCCACCCTACCCCCCCACCCCAAAAAAGAAAGAAACAGAAAACATAAGAAAACAAAACATGGCAGCCCTCAAATGCTACTGGTCGAGGGAATCTGAAGCACTGAAAGGGGGAGCTGAGAGGTGGCCAATGCGACAAATGGGTGGCTAAAGAATTGGGGAGCCCTCCCAAAATGGCTTCTTTGGGTTTCCTTTTGGATTCCTTTTAAAACCACCCAAGAGGGTACCAACTTGAAAAAGGGACCACCAAATGAACCACGGATGGCCAATTTTTTGTGGGAGGAATCCGGATCCCGTCTGGAGTGAACTTGCCTGTTCGGCTCCTGGGAAAGCTGCTGGAATTCGTGGAATTCACGGGTTTCGTCATGCATAACATTTCCGTGGATTGGCAAACCAAATCCAACTGTTGTTGAGCACTGACATGTTTTCTTTCTAACAAAAACATAGGGTGTGTCTTTCTTAGCGTTGGACACCCCAAAATGGTGGTTTTCCTTTGGTTTCCCTTCAAGACACCAAAAAGGGTATATACGTTAAAAGCTGGAAGGGCAACCCAACCGTTTCGATGTAAATTTGGGTTGATGTGTAGGTAACCAAGGGAATCAGCCTTTAAACTCTAAAAGGAAAGTGGCGCAGGGTTCTAGGTCCTCCAGTAGAGAGATAGAATACGGGTACCCATTGTTTTCTGTAGTCTATTTTAGTGGGGGAACCCTCCCCAAAAAAAGGTACAAGGGCGCTACTGGGGGACGTAGGGTTGCTTACCCGCTACGTGGGTAAGCTGAGATTCGCTTGGACATGGAAACTCATCTCTTCTTTTGGATCAGCACCTCCCGGCATTCAAACGTTGGCCAAACCAAATCCGACTCACGGGGAACTGGCGGGATTCGCCCAGGAAAAGTCGGACCTGGCAGCCCGGGCATTCCGCCTGTCACAACACAACGGTGCAAACATTCCACGTGTCATAACAACTTTCCAACCCTCGGTATCGTAGCAAACAAACCGTGTGTTTTGCAGCCCTGTATTGAAAATGAACAGAATCAACCAACATAAGCCCATTCTACCCTGCGTAAGAAGAACTATGTGTCCCCTGTCAACATCACCCAGGAAAAAAATCACAATAACAAATGGCCCTGTTTTTGTTGAAACTAACTAGTCTGGAAACTGATTGGAGTTTGGCTCTCCTTTTCAGGTAGCCCTTTGGAATGGTGGTTATTGAACCCCTGGCTTTTGCAGACGGTACAAGTAGTTATATGGGGAATCCCTCCCGCCAAGCCACCAATCCAAACCACCAAGAAGAAGGAAGCTGACCTTTACTTCCTCCCAAAACACCATCCCCAACGACGATCCCTAAGTTTTCAGCGTCAAGCCAACTCAAAAACCGGGCCACCCAATATGCCCGGTATCCCCAACCGGAACCCAGAGTTGCCCGTCTTGAAGCTTCCAGCTGGGATGTTTATTTGGACAAATAGGGTCATCCTGGCGGAGAATTCATGGACCTGAAATCAAGTCGGCGAGAACCTGGCCAATCCAAATTCCGAATCCCTCGCAAACCTCAGCATCCCAATATCTTTTGCGGAGACTGAACCGAGTGCATTTTTTGTGGGCCGTTTCCATGTCCGGACCTCGGCTTCCCCCGCGCCTTGTAGCTTTCGGAAGGCCTCGGCGGTGGCAGAGGTCAGGTTGTTGATGGCCAGGTTCAGTCGTCGCAAGCTCCTGTCGGGTGCTTTGGCAGGGGGCCTTTGGGCTGGATGGAAGCCCCAAAAATCGAACCCGCGGTGTCCTGTGGTTTTCGGGAAACATCGAGGTGTAATCTTGACCCTTTGACTAGGAGAACAGATCTGGTTCCCTGCGATGGCGAATAGGATTTGGCGGGTATGTGCATGGTGGGAACAAGCCCTGTGATACCAAGGTGGGATTCCCATCCCTCTGAGTTCAATTTAAAAGGGTTTCACGGTTTGGTATCGCAGTAATGGGTCAGTTCCAGGGGGTGGGTGGGTGGGTGGGTTGGGTTGGGTTGGGAGTGCTGTTCCAATTTCATTTCCCAGAAAACTGACCTGCCGTCATTCTCCATGTAAGTGGATCACAAACAAGTGACGCATTTTTTTAATTTATATTTTGCCATAATACGCTCTTCCCATGCTTGAAGTCCAGAAAAACCGGGGATCTGAGAATTAGAGGGTGGGGGCAAGTAGATCTGAGCTCCCCCGAATTGCATTTCGAGGTCGGGGGATGTCCTGCAACACCAAATTGTTTGGCATGCAGATTTCGGATTTTTCTGGGCACCCCCCCGCCCCCTACCTGCAAACTGTGTCCCAAAGGGTCCAAGCAGTCTTTGAGTATGAACTTGGACGGCTACATGGTCTGAGCACCTCCCTGGTACTTGGATCCTGAGGTTAGACTTCTTATTCCGTGAAGACACTTCTATTGTGTTCCAAGTTTGAGATATTGGTCAGTCAAACCAAAGACGTTGCCTTATGGGTAGAAGTCTTGAAGCACGGACCCCGTGGTGGAGAACATTGGCATGGAGTTTATCTTCATAGTCTTTGCAACACGGAACTAGTCATGAAACACGCTGAATGGGAGTTGTCAAAAAGCTCATCCAAAAAGAGGTTGCCCGTTTTGCGGGCTACCACACATAGTAGCCTTGAAAGAGAGAGGGGCGGTGTGCCCAAATTCAATCCGCTACTCACAGGCGGAACGTCAGAAGTCACCCCTGAAACCCAATTCGAGAAACAGTTACCTAGAGCTGATGATAGGACCTTGGGCGCGAGGCATTTCTAATTTAGCTCTCAGGTTACTTAAAAGGGCATTGTACTTAGCAAATTGTTAGTAAGCCTGGTTATAACCCACTTACCCAGGATATAAGTCTCCCAAGTGGGTTATAACCAGGCTTACTAGCCACTTACTATTTACAATTCTCCTTTAAGTCCACCCAGTTGGCATCAGCCCCTTGAGCCAACCGAATTCCCTCACTCAAGCCCCTTCTTCGGACCTCCAGTGGGAGAAACCGTCAACCTTGTGGAGCGAAAGAATCGACCAAACCCAAAAGGCTTAAATTGTTTTCCCGAGTGGATTGGCCAGAATAAGTTTGGGAGTTTTCTTTACCACCAAAATGGTCCAAGCCGAAAAGTGGCTGAAGTCCAGGAACTGAGGAAGTGAGAGGTTGTCTTTTTGCACGACTGAAGTACATTGATCGAACTCTTAACTCCAGTGGCCATGGGTCTACCCCCAGTGAACATCCCAATCCCCACTAAAATTGGTTGTAAAATTGGTGGTGAATTCACGTACCAACCAAAATGGGATCCCATTGGTTTTGACCACCCCAGCGACCCCACCAAAACGCTTCACGAGACTCCCCGCCTGTTCTTCCGAAGCATCCCGGCCATGGCGATCCCACCCTGGCCGATCGAAGCAAACCGAAGCCTTCCGGACCGACGTTTGCGACTAAAACTTGAATACAAACTTCCATTTGCTGAAATCCCCAGGAGAAAACACATCTCCAGTAGGCATAGATCTCTTAGGAAGATGGAAGCAATTATGTGGTTGTGCCCTTTTGGTTACATATATATAAAGGAAACCAGCCTCAGCACTCCCCTTATTTTGAGACCGTGTGGGGGGGGGGGGGCAGAAAATTTGGCCGGCTCCCAATTGAAGGGCCCCTAATTTTGGCCCTGAGGGGCTCATATCCGAAAGGCTTGCAGCTACTTTGGTCGCGAAACTCAAGGCAAGGATCGTGAGCGTGAATTGCTTCCTTTCAGGAAACGTGTTCATGGCTACTGGCCTGCTGTTTCTCCGCGCAAGTCGCTGCACAGGTAGTTGAGAAGAAGCTTGACCAAGACTTCCCCTGTCTCTCCAATCTAAGGGAGAAAACATCGCAGAACCCTCTTTGAAGGGATAAATAACAGTCTTCCAAGTATCTTTCTGGGAGGTAAGGCGTGCCCTACATTGCGATATTCTCAAATCCAATAGGTGCAGAAGTTGGGCAAAGCGCAGCCGCGCCATCGACGTCAAACCGATCCACGCCTCATCGCCTATGGAATTCCAACTGAGGTCCAAGTCTAAGATGGAGGTGTCCTGGCGATAACAAACATGCAGCAGGGAATGGGCATCGCGCACGTATAAATTTTATTGTCGAGCCAGATAACTCCAGCGGAGATGGGAAAGAAGGGTGCCTTCTTGTTGTACCAGCCACCATCGAATCTGTCGAGCCACCATCAAATTCACAAGAAAAGCGCCAAGTGTGGTGCAGTTGCACGTGTGCATGTGAATGCTCGAAAACTTCCATCTCCAAAGAGGGAGAACAACCAAACGTGTCAAACGCCACCTTCAAGGCTGCTTTGTTTTATAATCTCCTCCTGTGACACGGGCCTAAGAAAGTCATAATTTCGATGCATCTAGTGAACTACTGATTGTATTATACATACACGCATGTGAAATTATAAATGCTCCTGTCTGAGAAAGCACCTCCCCTGAAAAGTTGAGGCCGCCATGATTTGTCCGGATACCCCCACATACGACTGAGTTCCTTACATTTCCCCTTTCAACATCATCCTTCCAACAGGAAAGGACCAATGCGTGAAAATATGAGCCCGGGATTGCACAAGGTAAAGGGTGAACTAACTTTTCGGTACAAGTGCAGACACAATTACGAAATGCGTACGCCCAATCCGCCTGACTGTTTCGAGTTTGCGGCGTACTTCTTCGGCTCCATGCTACTAACTGTCGCTCCACCTAGCTTCTGCCAAAAAAACATCCTCGCAGGCCATCCAAACATCCCCACAGCAACGCTTCACATCATTCAGCCTTGAAAAGCACTTGTCACGTGACAACTTCATCTCACAAACGGTCGCCTATGCGACCCTATGCAAGGGTTCACAACACGAGCCTCCGCAAAATGCCCACACACGCCTACGCTGTTCTGGCCTGTCAATCAAAAGCCTATCCCCAAAGATCATCGACCTGTCAACCTACAATATCACATAATCATCGGACGGGTCTGCTCAAAAAAGGAGCCTTAAAAAGGATGCAATCAAATCAAACAACACCAAATACCTTGAACAGGCCCTGGAAAGTGAGTGATGTTGACAAATATGTTTCATAAACCTCCGTGATTCAAAAAGAGCCGCCTCTCTCCAGCCTAGAGCCCTCCTCCGCGAATCAAGACGTCCCTGCTTGCCCCCAAGAAAATCAAACAGAGAGGGGACGGGAGAGGATTCATCCGGGGGGCCTTAATCAAACAAAAATGACATCCCTAATAGTGACACCCCGATGCCAAGTGGAGGGATCAAGATTTGGATCTTCCAGGAGGTGTGACAGCTAGGGGAAGCGTTCCAGATTCAAGGTAATTCGATGGTAGGCCTTACTTTTGATTCGTAATCTCAACTCCTCACCAAAAACAGGAGGTATTTACCGCTGGAAACCCATGCTAAATCACAATTCACCTCAAACAAAATTGATATGGGTTTGTCCCAAAATAGGGGAGCCCACAAAATGGGTGGTGTTCCTTTGGTTTTTTCTTAAACCAAGCCGGTACCATAAAGAAAAACCATACATATCTTGGAGGGGGTACCCCTCTCCGACGAGATTTTCCGGGAGACCTCGGAGAACGATTTTTTGCCTCGCCTTGGCCAAAGCCTGCGCCAGTGCAATGGCACCGGACGCCTGGAAATTGACCGCCGAAATCCGGGTTGGGTGAAAGGACATGTTTTTCATGTCCCCTTTGAACCATGACTGCAAAAACTCGGTGAATCTGGAAAAAGGCTGTCCCGGATCCATCGGAATGGGCCGACTATGGCTCCTATCCCCTCTTCACACGTCACCCCTCCAAAATCAGGCCCGATCAAACTCGGGAAACCACTGCTGATGTGTTGCAAACCCAGACAGGGTCATACTACTATGTTGAAACAACCTACTATGCTGAAACAACCGAGCTAAAATCGTGTTTCTATTGGCATTGGGCTTTCCATGTGACGCATCCACAAGTTGCTGAATTTCCTTTTGGCCTTCTTTCGCCCCCAAATTCAAGATAACACAACATACTGGGCTGGCTTCCTTTTGGCTTCCATTGTCAATCCCAAGTTGATACAGTATTCCCTCGTCTGTCGAGAACACACCACCTGTGCTTCTGCCGTCCGGTTCCTTTCGTCATCCCTGTCCCATTTGTTTCAGCAAGCAAATGAAATGGCCTGTTGAATGGCATTCATTTCACGGTGCTTGTTCCATGTCCTGTTTATCATTCCGTCCAAAACCAAAGCAAAGGCCAAAGGAACAAACCAACGCAGCAACACACAAACAACCTGATTTGCCGCAAACACACTCCAAAATACATGTTATTTCAGTGAGTGATGTGTTTCTTGGTTCGTTCGTCTCAAGGAAAGCCATAAACATATCCCAGTGGCCCTTAATAGTCGCTGATAGGGTGCCTCCAAACAGGTGAGAATTCGCTTTCGGATTTCCGGTCAAAATCAACTAAACAGGGGTTCCCCTGTATTCCGAGTTGATCGGCCAAACGAAGTCTGAACTTTTTTGCTTGCCACTAAAATGGTGCTTCCAAAAAGCATAGGGTCCAGCGCCTCTTGTGTGTTTGGCCTGGGGCGACAGTGTAAAGCCCAAAACCTCAGGGAGTGGGCAGGGGGTTCCCTCAAAATCGCTTTGCCATCTAAGCAGCAACCAAAACTCATTGACTTTTGGTTCCGACGTGGTTAATCCCTATTAAACCAGGTAGTGGAACCACCTACTACTCACTTCATGAGTGGATGGGCCCAAAAAAAAATAAACTTGTTATTTACCACTCAAATGGTCCAAACCCAAAATGCCCAATGTTCATGACCTCAGGAAGTGATACGCCACAATGACTCCTTTCTTAATATTGTGAATCCAAGATAGGGACTAGAATCCCGATTTTTGAGCCAGCTAGTGGAACCAGAAAACCACCCACAATGGCCGTGTTTTACGACTTCTTCTTTCTTCTTTTGGGGGGGCGAGGGGGTTTAGTTACTTACTTACTTGCAGACCTGGGTTCCTGATGGGGGGGGAGGGGGGGGCTTCGTCTGATCGACTAAAATCCGCTCCTCCAGCTGGTTGGAGCCGAGCTCCAGGTGCCGCAGCCGAAGCTTCGGCAAAGCGCCCGCAGCAACTTGGGCGCCCGAGACGCCCAGCTGGTTCCAGCTCAGGTCCAGGTGCCTGGACGGGAGAGCGGGCGATAGAACAAGTCTTTGATAGTGGGCCCCAGGATTGCAGACTCTCAAAAGGGAGGAATATACCTGTATATATGTATGTATTATGAATTGCCATGTGTATATATATATATACATAGATACATACAAATGTATGCATCTGTACACTATGTTATACATGTGCATATATATATATATATATGTATATGTCACTGTGGGATAGACCTCTATAGGTTCGTCTCGTCGCCAACAGCAAGGAGGTGTCTGCAACCAGCTTGTGCCTAATTGAATTGCCCCGCTTTTGCAAGAGCCAACCTGGGAAAGGATCCATTTCTCCGTCACATAGGTGCGTATTTATCACTTGGTTTTGTGGAGAGTGGCAAATATGTCCAGGATTGCTCGTCCGAAAAGTGATATCTCCATATGGCATACCCCTTCCTCCAACTAACATAGCATTTGTGGGAGGGTGCCTGGAAGATCAAGCCTCCTCAAGGGAGCACAGGTGCCATGTCAATGTGAGAGATATTCTTCCGTGGTATATCATTTCTTGGAGCTGGTGGTGTGTAGGCACGTGCCTGAAAGGGTTGGGCCAACCTCATGCCGGTTGACTTGTTGAAAGGGGTCGTTAAAGCACATGTTGCCCCATGGATCCGCGCCGTACATGTAAGGACCTGCACACGTAGAATGGGGCTGCGCGGAACATTAAAGGTATATTTTGTGTTGATCGAAGAGCACCGTGCTAGTCATCAACCCACATAGGGTGGTCTTCAAAACCATTCAAGGTGCTTGGGGACCTGTTGAGGTGTCTCCTTGTAGCTTATTGAAATGCAACAATAGAACGGGAGCCATGAGCCATGTCTGTTTGGGTTGCCCCTATTGGCGATCAAGGCACACCAACCTGTTTGTTGCTCATTTTCAAGGGCAACCAACATGAAACTCGTGCTTCAGATGGACCAAGGTCCTTGTGTGAGGCTCCTCGCAGTGGAGGACTGCTGCTGCTGCTGCTGCTGCTGCTGCTGCTGCTGCTGCTGCTGCTGCTGCTGCTGCTGCTGCTGCTGCTGCTGCTCTGTTTGGAGACCTGTGTTAGGGGTCAGTTGATGAGTTTCAGTTTGAGGACTGGTGTCGACCCCAAAGCGAGCTATCCATTTGAAGCGGCCAAATCCCAAGAGCTTCTATGGCCCAAAGACGCTGGGCAAGAGCGGGAATGTCAAAAGATTCCTGTCACTTTCCGGTTGCTCTGTTGCTGCCACAACCTTCGCCCATTCCCTCTCCACACCATCTTCTTTGTTTCTCTGAGAGGGTTTAATTGACAAGAGAGATTGCCAAGGACTGAGCTAGATGCGTACAAAACTGCACCGGGTCGTGCGGTAGGTTCAGTAGGGAGAAACATGGGGAAAATTGTTTCAATTGCATGAGGAAGGATCCCTTTGGACACTACCAAGTCAGCTGTCCCTCAGCTTCCATCGATATACTTCGTGGCTTAGATTGGTGGAGCTTGGGGGTGGCTTCTCATTTACCCTCAACCAGGGGCTGAAATCCAGCCACCAGTCCAAACCAACTTGCCGGTGCGATAGGTAGGGAATGACTGTTCCGCGTGTTGGGACTGAACCGGAAGGGGCTTCCCTAAAAGGAAACCAAATCGGGGATAGTTTTCTGAGGCTCATTCCAACTCATTCTCTGCCAGATGTAAACCAACTAAGAGTTGCCTGAATCCATGCTTATGGGGCCTCCATGGCGCAGCCCGGCATCAAATGGATGATTCTCCAAGCAAACTGGGCCGACCCCCAAGGCATTTGGCTTAGACAGGCAATCAGACCAGCCATGAAAGGGGTCGACACTTGGCCGAAGTCTGTCAACATCATGAAGGGCACCCAGTATGTTCCAAACCTGGACCCATCCTATGAGCAGCCATGACTTTGCAGAGACACACGCCAAGCTCAAGATCGTCGAAGCACACCAATGGCAAGTTTTCAGCAAGTTCCTGCTCCAAAAGCGCTCATAGCTTGTTGGGCTCATTCGAGAAAGATTGCCTGTCCAAGCCAAAGGTTCATTTTACTGCGGCCACACATACAAACAAGCACACGCACGCACTCAACAGGAATCTGGATACTTGGAGTAGGCGGAAACATGCAGTATGATTCCGGCGATCATGGGGCAACTACATAGTGCGTGGGGGATGACCACGGTTTGCCTCGTCACCTGGTTGTTTGCATTCATGATACCTTGCAGTCCTTAGTAGATAGGGACCGTTCATTTTTCCAGTACGGAAGTCATCGAAGGCAAACAGCGCTGACAGGTTGCTATTTCCCATTTTGCCACCAACTAAACATCTTGCTTTTTGTTTGTGGTCCATATGGTGAACTTGGGCATAAACATTGATCATATGGAACATGGTCAGTATTTATCGTGTGCCCCAATCACCTCGGATTTGGGTGAGTGGATTGGCAAAGCGAACACGTCAAATTATAAAGTCGAAGAACCGTGGCCAAACTTGTGGACAGGTTTTATCATCTCGACACACCCTAAAATATATAACTTTGCCTCCACCTGTCCCTGCCACATCTTTGGTCTTCCATGCCTCTGTGCCGCCCAAACCCAAACCCCCCAACCAACCACCCACCCAACCCCCCAATCCCACCCACCCAACCCAACCCCCCCACCTGAAGAACATGTATTCCCCTACAGATATCTCACAGCGCAGGCCTCAAGTTTGAGCAGCTGGCCAACGCAGGCGCCAAGATCTCTATGCCTGCACATGTGCGAGCGCGCGCGAGCGTTGCCCCGGCTACTCGGCTGTGCTGGTGTTGCGGGCTAGACGACTACGATGCCAGTTCATCTCAGAGAATAGTACCCAGTCGAATTCTTCAGGTCCTGCTTTGGACAAACATCTACTTGGCACTAATGGATGAACCTCACCACAGTAGCTCTCTTTCCTGAAAAGCCTGCCCTGGCCAGAGGTTTGGGCCCATAGGTCCTGAGACCAGTTTGGTAAAACATACAAGTGGATTCCACCGGAAAATCCGCCTGGTGCTATGTAGCAATGGCACCCATCGTTCTTCTAGGAGCACTCCCAGAGGGGTGCCCAAGTGGTTTCACTCCCCACCCAGGGCAAATGGGAATCCATCTTTTCCGAAACATGACAAGAAACCGACCGCAGGGTCCGTTTTTAGGGAAACAGCTATTTCTCGAAGCTCGTTCACTTCCACATGGTAAAGCATTCCTTTCATTTACACCCTTTGATTCAAGTTCGTATCCTTGTCTTCCTGTTCTGTGTTGATAATCAACCTCCACACACCAAAGCTTCATTCCGGTTCCCGATGCAAGATGGCTACTTGCGTTTCAGTTCCAATGTGTCTTAACACGGCTTGCTCGGGCGAATGAGTTCACGCACATGTTGACGACACCGTCCCACAAGGACTCATATTTGGCAACATGCGCCCCAAGTCCAGGACGTGCCGTCGTGTCTAACCAAACAAAGATTCAAGGATGCCCCCCGGACTTTGGTTGTTGACAAACTCCCTTTGGCCATCTGGACTTATGTAAATTACAACAATCCACCTTCATCGTGCGGGAGCTCGTGGTGCCCCCTTGGAGAGAAGTTTAGCTTTTGATTCTACCAAACTCGCCATAATGATGCGTGTACACACATGTATATATATATATATCACGTGTAATATATGTATTATATTATGCCCTATTACAACCCCCAAAATAGGTAGTAGAACGACCTGCCAAACTGGTCTTGGGGTGTTTGGCGCTGAGAACTCGTTTGCCCATCTGCGACTCGCGGAACTCGTCAGCACCTTCCGGCCCCAGCTCGTTGGAGGATAGAATCAGCGCCTTGCGGCTCCGACGGAAAATCCGTCGCGTCCGCGTGGATCTTCCTATCGATTTCAAATCCAAAAAGGGATCCTTAAGCTGGCTTTGGCTCAAAAAACCGGTGCCAAAATGGAACCCTGGTCAGTGGAGACATGCCTGCGTAACCCCTCCTGTTTAATTTTGAGCCATACCCAGCTTCCCCAAACACTCAGAAGCTATGCCCCAAAGTTGTTCTGTTGGAAACAAACAACATGGCGAATGATGATCAACATGATTTTGTGCAATCCATCTGTCTGACCGAAAAGGGATCCACCCTTCTGCCGAGATACATGGCCATGTGTCCGAACCAAGGGATTGGACACACACCTTCCAACTGCTCCTCTCATGGCCCAACTTGTTTTTGGTGACCTGATTGGCCAATAAACCCTGGCAGATTCACTTGCTGGTGCGACAGGATGTTGAACCACCAGTTGGACGGTTTATAGGGGTCATTCCAACTCACCTTCTGCTGAGTCACTGCTGCGAACCAGCAGATTTCGGGCGTTGTTCTTGCCTAAGCGCATTTTACTGTGTGGTACTCTGCTTTCGCGCGGCCCTTTTGGCACCCAGGCTTCTTCAATTACCGCCTTTTAAGAGTCTGCGCACCGATGACAATGCGGCTGATGAGCACCTCTGGGCCGCAACTGGAAGCCAAAAGGATCCAATGGGATCTAAAGCGATCCAAAGGGTCAAACAGTGTCAAACAGTCAGTGAAGTCGTGCCATCAATTCCGCAGCCTACCCAACCCTCTTGCAGCTTATGCTGGGGACTGTTCCTAATTCGAGCCTGCATCTACCCCTTCGGTGCTCATGTTGGCTCCATTCCCTTGGCGAACATGTCTTGAGGTATCCGCTGTTCAGCTGAAAGGCTTTCAGTCCATCGCAATCTGCCGCCCTGCCATCCGAGAGGATTTCGTTTTGTTTGGCCGTTGGCCTGGTTTTTTTTGAGCTTAAGGTTTCCACAAAATGTGGCGACCCATGTTGTTTGGGCTTGTAGGACGCCGACCGTGAGGGATCCAAGTTTTTAACACCAGTTGAAAACTAGCAATGGAGCATGCCACCTGCATCCGCCCGGTTTCCCCGGCCGCATTTGCCTCGATGGGCGCATGCTGCAAAGCTGCCGCCAGCGCCGGAGCCTGGCAGCTTCGCCGAAGATGTGCCACATGCACACATATGACGTCCCTCACCCATTGAGGCGCCTAGAAAGAATCTTGAGGTTCTCTCACCTTCCCGAGGCATGTGTCTTGAAATAGGCCCCCAACATGATGGTTACCCTTCGGTTTTCCTTTCAGACCGCCCCAAAAGCAACGCACAGCATCTGAGTATGTTTTTTGAGGTTACTCTTTTTGGAGGAAACAGGCTGGGAAAGCACCTGGTACTGTTTTTGTGTTTTTTTTGGCTTGCTGTTAGGCTGTGATGTGTCGAGTTGCAGTTGTGAGCAGGGCTGGGGGAGGGGGAGGAGGGGGGGTTGCACGCACACGAACACACATGAGTGCACACAGGTTGATGCATGGCCAATGTTGGTTGCAAATGCAGGCAGCATATGAAGAGCCACCATGTCCATCCCAGCAAACATGAATTTGCTAAAGAGTCTCTGTGACGAGGGGAGCACGCAAACGACCCGCTTGCTTCATAGCGGGGAATCAATGTATAGACAAAAGGTATCATTGCAAGACGATATACCAACTCAGCTGCACTCTAATGTGTTTCGCTACATGCATCTCTTCTTTTCTACGTATCAGCTTCGACAAGGATTTCTGCCGTGCGTTGGCTGCAGTTTGCTGATTCAGATTTTCGAGCCATTGAACTGCGACTATGCACAACACATTGGGTTTTTGACAATTTTTGCACAAAAACAATGCTGTCCTAATTCTCCCGTTCACTGCCAGGCATGAGCCAGAGATGACAAACTGCAGAAAAGCCAGGGGAAACATGTGTAACTCAGCTTTCGCCTCCAGGTTTTTTAACAGCCTGTGACCTTTTTGGACTTGTTGGACAGGGAAACCAAACGAAAAACAACAACACCATGTCGAGGGGGTCCTTTTCTCCCACTTCGAAATTTGGACAAATCGATGGCAGTGGCAAATGAATAGAGTCAAACTGAAACTGCCTTTTGTTCATTATTTTTACCACAAAGGACACCTCGGTCCTAACAAAACAGATCAGGCACCCGCTCAAAGACGCCCCGAACTCCGAAGTCCGCGCCTGCTCGGGGCCCAGGTCGGCGTCACTGCACTGCACTTTGAGGTGCTTTGCCGCCAGCAGGTGCAGCAACTCCCCACAGCTCTCGGCCTGCGATCGAAAAAAAGGCGCCTCCACACGTCTTGGGACACCGTAAGCAATGGAAGCGGGGACACTACTACTCACTTCCTGAGTGGATTGCCACAAACAGTCCAAAGTCTGTATTTCCCACTAAACTGGTCCTTCCAAAAAAAAGAAAGTCCAGGAACTTAGGAAGTGAGACGCCAAACATCGCCAAACAAAGGGGGGGCCCTGCTCATTCTGTTCCGGAATCCTTCTCTTTAAATGGCCCAAAACCAAAAGATAATTGGAGCTTTCCGAGGGGTGACAATGTTGAGGAGGAATCAACCCTTCCATCAACCCGTCGAGTCAAGGATTCGCGCCCCGGGCCCCCGCGAGTCCAAAAGGAGCACCTGCTTTTGACCACTTGCTGCATGAGCCGTGGCATGAGCCGTGGCATGAGCCGTGGCTTACATGTGCTGGTTTCTTTCAAGGAAACGCAGCGAGCATGGACTATATGTTTTGACCAAAAACTTGCTTTGTTTCAGCAGGGAATGAGGGGAATGACCCCAACACATCCCCTATGGTTTCCTTTACGGGAATCCCTAGGTTCATTCCCAAAAGCCTGGGTCATTCCCTACCAAGCAGCAGCAAGAAACAAACACGATTAGAGTCCACCCTTCTCCCTGCATCCCCGTTGCCCGGCTGGTAAGTCATCCAAAGTTGTCTCTTCCTTCCCTCGTCGCCGAGAATGTTGAGCTCGGCCGGCTTGTTTCAGGCTACCCTTGTTCGCAGTGGATGAAAGGGAACTCGGAGGGAGAAAGCCCATAAGGGTGCCCTAGACACAAATCCCCCGCGCAAAATGCAGTTGCGCAAGCGCACGTGCCTCAGTGATTGGCACGTCCGCCGGCGAGTCGGAGTCCAATGGAGGCTCCTGCAAGACTCAACTGAGCTTATCAACTATTGGGGTTACGCACTTGGCACCTGAGCAGAACACACAAACAGCCAACCAGTTCAACCCCAAACAATTCAAACGGCTTCCTCTTCCGATTCGGCCTCTGGTTCCACGCTTGTGACTCCTCTTTTCCCTCGCTCGCGAAGATTGGGAATCATCCACTGCCATCTGGCAACACACGATCCAATTGCTTCTTGAGCCGTCGAGTTCTGTGATGGTTTCTTCCAAGCTCGTCCTGGGCAAAGCGCAACAAATGGTCTTTCTTATCTTGTGCAGCAGCGCCTGTGCAGGTCTTCGCATCCAAGTAGAACTGCAGGAGCTGCAAATTCAAAGCGTCCAACTTTTCAGTTTCCTGCTGGATTTTGGCAAACCACTCCTGGGAAGGGCTGGGCATGTGTTCCGTTTAAACAGTTTCGACCTTGGGCACCATGTAAACGGTTTGGGTAAAACATTAAACATGACATCTCTGGTAACGCCCAGAATTGTGACACACTGAGCACCCTAACGCAATCACCCCCTTCAACTGTCCAGTCTCCCATTTGAGCACCCCATGATTGGGGTCCGTCTAATCGTGTTCAAACTTGTTAAACATACACGCGCGTACAGTCACGTGTTTGAACCTGCGCATAGAACTGTTCAAACCTCAAGCGTGCTTCGCCCAGCTCCTGGGCCACCTCTGCTGCCTCCCTGGCAAGATCCAGGTCCGACAGGTCGAAGTAGCAAACGCCAAGCTCCACGGAACATCGGCCCACGGTCCGCGGGTCACTCTCGGTTTCTCGGTACAAGCGGCGAGCTGTCTGGATTTGATCCACTGCTTCTTGTGGCTGGCCCTGCTCTCGTAAGGCTTCTCCCAGCTGGACATAAAGAGCAGCGCTTCGCCAGGAATGCCCGTCCCCAACTGAGGTTCTGGCCCGAATGGCTTTCTGGAAGGCATCCGAAGCTGCTGTCCACTCTTCCTTCTTCGCATAGATCAGACCAAAACTTCCTAGCGCGTAGGAGGCAACAGGATCTTGCTCGGAGAGGCGCGCGTCGGCCTGCTTCGCCCAGTACAAAGCATCCTCCAAAGAATTCGCCTTCTCATATGCCCTCACCATTGCACTCAGAAACAACAAGGCTTCTCGCTGAGACGATTTGGAAGAAAAGGACACTTCGCCTTGAAAGCCATCTTTGAAAAGCTTCGCAGCTTCATAGAACCGGCCATGACATTTCTCATGCCACGTTCCAAGGGCATACAGAGCCCTGCCTGTGAAACACTTTGGAATTGTTCCCAGAAAGCCTGCACTTCTGAGGCGGCATCATCAGCATTCACCTTGTTACCCTCGTAGCACCACTGGCAAAGCATGTCCGCATAGGCACACACAAGTACTCCAAAGTGTGTGTCTTTCTCACTGTCACTGAAGTTTTTCGCGCATTCAAGGGCTGCCCGGCGATGCTGCGGAAACTGCTTCTGTGAAGTGGCAATCATCATTTTGAGCTTCGCAAGCTGCCAATTCAATGCTGCGGTATGTACGTTCGAGTCTTCCCACCTGGGCAACTCTTCCTCAAGCAGTTCCAAGCCGAACTGGCAGTTCTCGATGTTCACTCGACAATACTCAGACGCGAGGATAAATATTCGGCATCGGCACTCCTTACTGCCCCGGACTAAGTCTTCCATAGCCCCTATGGTTGTGCTGCGCAAAAGCTTGCTGAGCTGCACACAATGTGGCCCGCACAGCTCAAGTTCGCCAAGGTCAGTGCCATCGTGCACCAAATCGACGGGCATTGCTTTCTTGATAATTGTCCACATGCAAGATTCCAATATGTCCTTGCAGCGCTCCGATGATTCCAAGTCGCAGCGAACGGCCATCTGCCACATGCGATGCACTCGAAATCGCCCTTGCACAGCGCGATCCAGAAGACATTGCCCATGCAGTAACCTCAATGACTCATCCATGTGTCCGCTGTCGAAGAGTGAGAGCAGTTTGTAATCCAAGTGTTCGGGGTCCAAAAGACTGATATTCTGCATCAATTGCACTGCCTCAGGCAGTCTTTCAAGCAACAGATTCTTCGTCATGCCCCAAGACGTTGCTAGGGTGTGACCATACTCAGATTCGGCCAGCAGCCTTCCTGAAAGGTTCAACAGGCCATCCTCATGTTTGTGAAAGCGCTCTGCAAAAATCTGAAAGTCGATCCAACTGTTGTCTCTAATGTAGGCCGCCACTTGTGCAAGGGCCAGTGAAAAGTCGCCAACCATCTCTGCAATCGCTGCTGCGCCAGCATCGTCATTTTTGATGTCGGTCGCTTTCCTCAAGAACTCGATCGATTCATTTCTTTGAAATGGCGGCACTTTGATAGTTACTGCTGTGGGAGGCGCCTTGCTTGGGTCTCGGGCGGTTATCAGAACGTGTCCGGTGATGGGATCTGGAAGAGGAGGCAAATCCACGGCCAAGTTGTCAAAGATCAAGACCCCCCCGAGACCTCACGTTTTATTTTGGGGGGGGTTGCTTGCTTTGTGGGAGGGTGTGGGTTCTCGGGGCGGCACTAAGGGATTCCTCTCCCGATGAGCACCCCCCTCCCGGCCCCCTTCCTGGCGTCAGGGCGACTCTGCGTCTTTCTCTTCTCTCACCCGTTCCGCGCTCTGTCTGTCTCCTGTGCCCCTTCCTCTCTCCCTCTCATTTCGCTTCTCCCGGGCTTTGTGGGGTGCGTGCGCTGCTGTTCACGTCCTTGGCTAGGGTGGTGTCCTAGTCCAGGGTGCGTGTGACTCAGCCACGTCCCGGTCCTGTCCTTTCCCTCCTTCTTGTTTTCTCTCCTTCTTGTCTTGCTTCTCCCACTCTTTCTGGGGTGCGTGTGCTGCTGTCCACGTCCTTGGCTAGGGTGGTGTCCTAGTCCGGGGTGCGTGTGCTCAGCCACGTCCCGGTCCTGTCCTTTCCCTCCTTCTTGTTTTCTCTCCTTCTTGTCTTGTCCACGTCCTTGGCTAGGGTGGTGTCCTAGTCCGGGGTTCTCTTCTCCTCCTGGTCCTCTTCCTGCTTTTGTTTCCCTCCCTTGCCTTTGGGACACGTGTGCTGCTGCCCACGTCCTTGGCTCAGGTGGTGTCCTAGTTCGGGGTGCGTGTGACTCAGTCACGTCCCAGTTCTCTCCTTCTCTTCTCCTTCAGGCGCGTATGCCCCTCCTTGCTTTCTCTGTCCTTCGCTTGTCGACTAAGGCTTATGCTCTCTTAGTGAGGGGCGCTCTCACGCTCCGTGGCGATGTGCCTTGCACGGCTAAATGATCCGCACCTCTTGCGCTTTACTGCCGGTCCTTGTTACTGTGCACCTGGCTTTACTTGCCTCTTCAGTGCATCAAATGTCTCTGTTCTAGTTCTCATTGGGCTCAATGGACTCCTTTCAGTCTCGTGCCTTGCATGTCGCCGCGGCACTACTCGGAGGCCCGCTTCACCATCGCAGCCGCAGCCCTGTGAGTGCCCTGGCGGATCAGCCATCCGGTACTGCCACGCCCCCGGCCGAAGTACGAGCTCGAGCCCCCCGCCCCCCGATGGCGGCCTTCCCCGGCGTGGTCCAGGCGTACCAGCTTCCGGATGAGAGTGGGGTGTTCTTCTTTCACTCCGACATGGCCAACCCTCAAACTCGGGCACAAGTGGCTGACGAGCTAGGGGACCACCTGGACACGCCCATTGGTCGCCTCCTGATTTCCGTCTCCAGTGAGGGCCCTCGCCAAGCCTTGGCTCCCTCCTGTTTTTCCATTTTTACAGCTTGCTGTCGGAAAGGAAAAAATAACGAGCTGGATGCTTGCTCATGTTGGTTGAGGCCTCCTTGCGTCAATCAGGGCCATTCGGTTTCAGGTTCTTTGCTACATGTATGCTTCTGCCGCCCCCGCCATCTCGGTTCTCAGTCAGAGTCAGGATCCTGCACCGACCACTGACAACACTCACTTTTAACCCTCACGTTGGTACACTTACGCATTTACCCTTGTCTGTTTGTGCCCTGTGTGTTTGTTCTTTTCGTCGTGTTGCTTTGTTTCATCTTTGTTTTGTTTTGCCAGCTCTGCTCTGCCCCTGGAACTGGTCCTGTTTGGCTGTGTGGTCTCCCTCGGCTGTGCCTACGCTCTGGCGCTGCTGCTTTGCGCTCTCTGTTTGGCCCCTGCGCGGCCTTCCCGTGGCCTTCAACTCTGTCCTGTCCACGCTCGGCCCCTGCGCGGCCTTACGGCCCCCGTGCGGCCTTGCGCTCTGTCCAGTCTTCATGGACCTTCTCCCCGCCCTTGGAGATGCGGATTCGTCTGAGTCGGAGGAGGCGCCAGAGAATGCGCGTGTCGACCTGGATGTTGGCACCCGTCTGTCTCTCCCTTCCTTTCAGGCGTCCTGCGCAGGGGATGATATGTGTTGGAGGGGGAGTCGCGTCCTCCGATTTGCCTCTGTGCAGGCAGGCGGCGTCGGTACCGACGCCCGCTTTATCGGGCATTGGTGGGGCCAGTCCCTCTCTCACCTGGGAGCGGACATAGGATGCGTCTCTGAGATTGGCTTCATTGCCTCCGCCGGTTACACTGCTGTGTTCCATGGCCCCTTGGGAGCGCCGCCTGCCGCTCGCTCTGGTGTTGTTCTGGCAGTTCGGCGCGGTGCCATCCTTGGCTGGTGTGACGTTGCGCGTGCTCCGGGTGGCCGTGGCATGGCCGGCACTATACATCTTTCAAACACTGTCCTGTTCGTATCGTGGGCGTGTACGCGGTGACTGGAGCCAGTCTTCCCGGGTTCGATAGTGATCCGTCTAAGCTGGCCGAAGAGGCTTCACTGGTCCAGTTTGTTCGGGAGCAACTCCGCCTGGCGGACGAGCTTAGTATCCCGTGCATTTGCATGGGTGACTTCAACTCCGTCGCCTCGCTGGATCTTGATGTTTGGCATGGGTCGCACGTTCTCCGTCCGTCGTCCCTCGCTGCTCACATGCCTTCCTTCGACTGCGTAGACACCTTTCGTCTCCGCCACGTAGGCCTCCGGGCCTACACCTTTTTTGCCCACTCTGGCTCTGCAAGCCGCCTGGATGGCATTTGGTCCTTCAGCCCCTGCCGTCGGCCGGGCTTCGCCCTGCTTTGGCTGGACTTCGTCCTGCTTGGGCCCAGCGCTGCTGCTGCGTGCTGCGCACGGCTCCGCTTCACTGGCCGTGAAGATGTCTTCCACTTCTTGCTGCTCGAAGCCCTCCCACAGACGGTCGTAGTCCTCGGAGTTTATCGGGCTAAGCTCGTGTCCTGGAGTTTGGGCCTGCTGCCAGCACCTGCACCAGGAATATCCACAAGCGGGACAAGCTTTATCCAGGTCTTCTGCTACGGCTGGCGAGGCAGCAACCAGCTGCGACCCCGTCTCGGCAGCCAGCTGCGACCCCATCTCCTCTCCTGTCTGCTCGACGGCATCGCTCTGCCTGTACGTGGGGCTGAACCTCTCCTGCTGCTCAACTCTGCGGTTCTTGTTGGCTGGCGTCGCCGTGTTGATCATGAGCCCGTGCTTGCCGACTTTCTTGCCGCGCTCCCATTGGTGGAAGATGATTCCCCTGCCGGCCCTCCTTCTTGGCGTTTATTGGCAGAGACCATTGAGTCCGGCCCTGTGCCCCAAGTGGAGTCGTTACGACACACCGTGGCGAGTTCCCTTGCCGCGCATGCTCCGTTACTCCAACACCTTGAAGAGGATAGCTCCTCCTGCTTAGCCTGTCCCAACCCTCTCATCTGTTCTTCTCCTCGTGTGAGGGATTGGATGGTACCGGTGAGGGTGCATCTGCGTCAGCTGGGGAACCTCGAGGGTTTCGGCCCGGCGGCCCGCTCCAGTGTCAACGCAAGCTTGGATTGTTATCCGCGTGTCTGGGCGGCCCCCGGCCGCTTGCCCGCCTGATTGGTGGCTCCTCCAGCCGCAGGGGGATTTGCTGCTCCGACGGCTAGAGCCACCCGACTTTGAGTTGCTTCTCCCTCTCACTGAGGCGGAGCGCTCCACACTTATTCGGCGCATGCGTCGCTCTCACCCAGGTCCTTCCGGCTTCAAGCTCCTCTTCCTCTCTCTTTTCCCGCTCCGCGCCCAGATGCTATTCTGGCGCCTGCTTGATGTGCAACGCCTTGCCGCTTGCGTCGCGCCGTCTCTTCGGCGTGCCATCCAGGTCCACATGCCCAAACCGTCTGGCGGGTCGCGGATATACCTGACATCGTCGCCGAGCTTGGTCTTGGCAGCATTCACACTGGTATTGGCTTTGCTTGGGACAAATTCTCCGCCTTTGCTACGAGGAATGCAACTCCCCTCGGTGGTTGAAAGTATCCTTGCCGCTGCTGGTGCGGATCTCCTCCTGCTGCTATCAGGAAGGTCAGAAGCCTCGGTGCTTGCGCGTGATGCCTTGCGCGATGCTCTCAATGCTCCGCCTGTCGAGGCTGAAGCGCTTGGTGGTCTCGTCGTGCTGGCCCTCCGCCTTCTTGCTGCATACGGTTTCCATGTGTGTGTTCAGCCAGACCGCTTCATAGCGCGGGTCCTGAACGCATTAATCTTTAGTTGGTTCCTTCCGGCCCGTGTTGGCAAGGCCTTCTCTTATGCTTGCTCGCGTTGGATTTGTTGCCAACTCGTTGCGGCGGATCTTTGCGGCCTTTGTGGCTGAAGGTCGTCCTCGATCCACTTGGTCGGATCTTGCCCTGTGGAGTCACGTTCTTCCTGCCGCCTTTCCTTTCTCTCCAGCAGAGTGCTCTCGTGCAGTGGCTCAGGCATTGGCAGAAAGCCAGCGAGATTGGCGCGTTGAGTGTGCTCTGTTCCGTCCTGGCGTTGCTGCGCCACCTCTACCTGAAGATTGGGGCCTCCACTCCTGGGAGGACCCTTGGGAGAGCGCAGACCCTCGGACGTCTTTCTTGGATGCCTTTGCGTCTTTTCCGGCCGCGCTGGACTATGCCATGTACAGCGATGGAAGCGCGTCGGGCTCGAGTCAGTGCTCCTTCAGCTCGCAGGCTCGGGCCTTTGTCCCTAACCAATTTGTGAGTACTAGATCCATGGGGTCTAGATTTGGGGGGTTTTTGGCTATCTCGAATTATCTCGAATTATCTCGAAGATGTAGGTCAGGTTGAAAGCAACTTGCATGTTTGGGATTTGTTTCTGCATTTTTTGTCATTTGTATGATGTGTGTCTTCATGAATGCCGTGCAATTTTGTTGATTTTGCATTTTCATTTTGTAAATATTTGTTCTAATGATATTTAATGCTGACGCATGATGGTCGGTCATTGTGTTTTTACTGATCTTAAACCTGATTGCA